GATCTGATCTCATTCTATTTTCTAGCCTGTGAGAGAAGTATTTTGTTTGTGCCACGGTGTTGCATGTAAGCAGAACCATTTTCCCTTCCGCTTTCAGCAGCACCCACCAGTGACCTGCTGATGAAGCTGAGCTCACTCCCTCGCTGTGCCTCCCTCCTGCTGCCCTATCCCCATCCAGTCCTCAGCAAGGATTAGGGAAAACAGAGAGTGCACAAGGAAGGTTTTCTACACGAGGCTCTGTTAATGACTCGATTCCCTGCAGTGACTCCTGGCACTATTAGCACAACTATTTCAAAACTAAACTGCATATAATAAATGAACAGAACCTATTTTAGAGAACTCTAGAGATTTTTAGAAAAACTGTCAAACTTCTTTTGCTTGTAGCCTCTTCCCTTCTTCTTTTTCATAGCAAAATGGGAAGAAAAAGGGACAAAGGCAACAGGAAGTTTAAGATGCATATTAAGAATATCCAAGATTTTTCAGTATGGTAATTTTAAAATTAAATTGGTTTAGAACAATTAGGAGAAAAAACATAAGAAATAAATCAATTTTTTTATTATTTTTTGAATCAGCTCAAGAACTGAGCTTATTCCCACTCCCAGAGAGCAGGTTTAGTTACGAATTTAGGAACATTATGCCTTTGACCAACGTGAACTGCATGCTGAGCTCCCCAGTCCAAGCTGAGATGTCCTTAGCAAGGCGATGTCACCTCAACTCACACGCACATGAACGTTCTCTTTCCGCCCACCAAATAACCCTGTTGTGGTGTTCTCTCCATGGCATCACTGTAAAATACACATGTTTAAACAAATAAATCAATAAATGGGTTTGCTGAAGCAGCTTAATTTGTTTATTCATCAAAATTGGAGTCAAATCCCAAATAACCAAAAATGTCCACAGACAGAGCAAGCCTCTCCTGAGAGCCGTCTGTCTACATCCAGGAGCCAAAGGAATCGACACAGATCATGATGGGAACGTCACTGCTCCGACTCCTGGGTGTGTTCCCACCCTGTGCCTTGACCAGCTTGATGCTGAACTGGAGAAGCAGCTGCTGGATGGACAAACAGACAGATCCTTTGTCAGGAACTCTGCTGCACAGAAAACATCCTTATTTTCCCTGCTGAACAACCTGGTATTATTCACTGGACAGAATTCCACTCAGAATCCGCAGGACAGTTTCTAGGCAGTTTCCACAGCTTTTGGGCAACCCCTTCCATGCCATGGGGGACAAAGGGCCAGGAATAATGAACAGCTTACAGTCGTGGGTTTGAAACAGTTCAATTTCTCTCTCATTTGCTGAGATTCAGAAGCTAAAGCAGATGAATGTCACCAAACACAGGTCGGTTCTATCCTGTTCTTACCCTCTCTGGGTAATATAAATCTGTATTTTTTGTCAGATACAGTCAATGAACTGTGTGCACACACTCCTCATGCAGTAATTCACTGGCTTTCTGCCCCAGAGAGGTAGGGGCAATGTATATACTGCTTAGCCCGTGTTTATGTTAAAATGGTTTCTCACTCAGAAGAAATCTTACCTTTGATTAAAGGAAACAGAGTAGAATAGTGAAACAGGTTATCTCCAACACTATTGTTTGGATTACATTTTCTGAGAACACTAAAAGGGATAGCTCAGATATATATTTACAGATTTTATTAAGTCAATAGCCTTCACAGAGAGAGTGAGAGAGAGATGTTAGGCACCATGCTTTAAAAAATCTCTATTAAAATTACAGAAATACCAGTGTATTTAGCCAGTCACCATAAATAAATCACCCTGATCGCCTTTATGTACACAGTAATACATCACACCCAACTGAATGCCAAACCATAGTTTAGATGGAGCTTCTTGCTGGAATCTCCATGATTTTTGAAGAGCAGCAGGATCTTAGTAAGAAAAAAAGAGGCAGCCAGGTAGGTTCTGTTGTTATTTACAGCCCGAGGTGAAGTGCCAGGTTAGAGGCACTGACAGGGCTGCTCAAGGCCATGGCCCCTCTTGCGCCCCATGGGAACCCAGCCGGACAGGGAAGTTACTTTTCATCACTGTTAAAATCAAACACCACAGGAAAACATTTACATGTAACTGCTTTAGCCCTCAGGGTGCTGGTGAACTCCAGGTCTCTGTGCCCAGAGTGAAGCCGAGGGCTCTGCAGAGCGGGCACAGCTCTGAGCTCCCCACGCCCCGAGGGCTCAACCCTGCTGGGCACAGCTCAACCTGGGCTCTCCAAGTCCTCTTACACCTTTTGGCCTTTTTTCTTGACTTGGGTTTTCTCCTCCCTCCCGACTTCCAGTCCCCATTTTGGGAACAGTCTGGGATCACTTTGGTTTTTCTGTTCAGGAGCCATCAAACCTGGAGCCTTTTGCCAGGGAGCCTCTTACTCCTGTCAGCTGTATCCCTGGAAAGCTATTCCTCAGGAACTGAGCTGGGAAAGCTGCTGTGCTGATAAACCACCTATGGTGTCTTCTGGTTGTGATTTTGAAGATGAGCTACAAAGGCCACTTGAGTCCCTGTGCTCTGCAGGGAATCGCTGCAATTGAGTGAGATGGCTGATGCTGCTTTATCCTGTTAAATAAAACAGGAGCTCGATACCACACTGAAAAAGGGCTCTGAGTGCAAGTCCAGTCTTGTTCTGAACTCTTGGAAATCTACTTTTCCTTCATTTAATTGACAAAATGTGTAGATCACACAAGGAAGACAGCCCCTGCCAAAAATCCAACATCACTAGTTTTTAATAATACAATGGGAATAACCCCTCAGAACATATGTAATTATGGGAATGAGTCATTCCAATGGCATCATGTAACCCTGTTCCCTGGGATTTGACAAGGATGAGGCCACATAAAACTCGAAATTATTTCATTTCAGCCCTGGTCAGGGCAGTGGTGCCAAGGAGCTGAGGCTGTGTGGCAGAGCTGATGGACAGCGAGCTCCAACCCCGCTGTCCCGGCCGGTCCCACTGCACCCAATGGACACAGGGCAAGAGAAAGTTAAAGATCCAAAGGGGAGGGATGCATCAATAGCAAAGGAAAAGCTGTGAGTCATAGAGTAACAAAAGATCAGTTTAGAGGAACAATATCCGACCCGTACTTATCAGATACACAACAAACAGCCGCGGGGACACTGCGAGTTAAACACCAACTGTTGGCCCCAGTGATGGAATTTGGGTCAGGGAACATGTGAGAACAAGGAGAGTGCAGCAGAAAGGATGAGTTGGTGCCAGTCTGAATGCAGGTCCCACACGTGATCAGCAGGATCTTAGGACAGAAAATCCCGCCCATAGCCCACTCCAACGGGGACACGCTGTGAGCACAGCCAGGGACAGGGGCTGAGCCCTCACTGCCAAAGCTTCCAGCCTGGGAATTCAGCACCCAGCTCTGAGGCATCCCCAAGACAAGTTCTCCACACCACAACCTCCTGCCCAAAGCTGGCTGGGTTTGTTCTCTCACAGAAAGAGACAGGGACCTTCTGGCTGCACCCCAAGATCTCTTGCTAACAATAAAGGAGTTTTCTTAAGGGAAAGGAAGAAAGAGTGGGGGAGAGCAGAGCAAGTATTACTCAACTATTTAGTCTAAAATTTTGAAAATCAAAAGGATCTTCTGACAGATTGATATCGACTCTAATAGAAAACACACTTGTCCTGGGAAAACTCTCCTACATGAGCCTCGAGTCTGATAGCTTAGACAATTATCTACAATTTGGAATTGATTTTTATGCCCACATCAGTGTGTACTTTTTCAATGCCCAAGGCACAGATAATTCTATTAAGAGAAAAACCAGAACTTGTAGGCTTAAGCCAAACAGCCTCCAAACTCCAGACTCCATCTTACAAAACATCTCCCAGGCCTGACTCATCAGGGCTCCCTTGCACAGCAGGGACTCTGCACCTCACAGCAAAACGCTGAAAATCATTAAAAGAACAAAACCCCAGCAGCTCTGTTATTGTTCTGGGTTTAGAGGAGCATTAGCAGCACCAGAAGGATGTTGCACTGGCCAGGAATGCTCTGCTGCTAATAAGTGTTTAGGAAGGATGGGCCAGGGCTGTGTTTTGGGGAAGGATTTCCCAAGGTGCTGAGCTTGGCCCCGGCCCAGGCTCTGGTATCAATTAACACCATTTCAGTGCAGCTTTGTTCATTTCCCCTAGGTGAGGAGCTTTCAGACTGCTATTAAAATCTGGCAGTAACACAAACATAGGCTTAGGCTTTAGACATAGAATTTGCCTAAATTTGATTTGTTACTGCACTGTCCATGCAATTCTTTACACGCACATAAAAACACCAATGTTGTTATTTCTAATTTTTAAAATTCTTTGCCAGTAACCCAGAAGGAACAGCCCCGTGTGCCTGTAAACACCCACCAGTACTGCCCTGTGCATGAGTCTCTGCCACACCAGTGGCCCACCAGCTGCCCCAGTGCCCTCCAGCAGCCCCAGTGCCCCTCCAACTGCCCCAGTTCCCCACCAGCAGCCCCAGTTGCTCTCCAGCTGCCCCCATTCATCAGCAGACGGCGAGGAGCGCTACTGCCGCGCTCCCAAACGATTCCCATTATGTGTCTATGAACAAACATTCCCAAACAATGGGGACTCCCCGTGCCAGCGGCCCCGCCGGGCCTCAGAACCGCCTCGCGGCCCCGGGAGGGACCCGGCCAGACCGCAGCGCCCCAGGCCGGGCACAGGCGCGTCCCGCCGCCCTCTGCGGGCCGGAGCCCTCCAGGAGACGGGGGGGACACGGGAGGGACAAAGTGACACGTGAGGGACAAAGTGACACGGGAGAGACGGGGGGACACGGGGGCCGGGGGGGGCCGGGGGGGCACGCGTTGCCATGGCGACCGGGCGTGCACGTGGCTGCCCGGAGACGCCGCTGCGCCTGCGCCGCCTCGCGGCGGCTCCCGGAAGTGGGTCAGGCGCGCCGGAAGTGCCGCGCGCGTGTCCGCGGCCCGCCCGAGCACTCCGGGGCCGGCGGAGACACGGACGGGACACCGGCACCGACAACGACACCGGCACCGACGGGGACACCGGCACCGACAGGGACACCGGCACCGCCGCGATGGTGAAGCCGCGGTACAAGGGCCGCTGCTCCATCAACCCCTCCCGCGCCAGCACCAACCCCGGTACGGGCCAGGTGGGCCGGGACGGGCGGAACGGGACGGGCAGGGCCGGGACTGACCCTCTCTTGTCTCTGCAGATCGAATCGGGGGCGCGGGGGGGAACAACATGCGGGACCGAGCGACCATCCGGCGCCTCAACATGTACCGGCAGAAGGAGCGCAGGTGGGGACGGGCGGCAGAACGGCTCGGTATTGGAACGGGCCTGTGTCAGTGCTCTGTGACCCCGGGAGCTGGGGAGCCTCACCCTGAGCCTCCCCCAAGCCTGGCCCACAGCTCCAAGCAGCCCAGCCATGTCCCAGAGGTGCAGCTGGAAAAGGTGCTGCAGAACAGCTGAGCGTGTCCCTGAAATGTCATGAGTCCCGAAACCACCCAGAATTCCCGGATTTCCCACAGCAGCATAGCTCAAAAGCTGCTTCCCAAATGCCTGAAGAGCCTGACTCCCCCTGGTTCCTGCACGGAGGGATCCCCTGAGGGGATTCCCCCTGTGCCCCACTCAGGGATCAGGCTGAGGAGCAGCTCCCACCGTGTCTGTGCCATGGGGGCTCTGGGAGTCCTGCTTCACATCAGCAGTTCTGGTTTGTTTTGCCCCATTTCCTGCTGTCTGGGCAGCAGATGAGGAGGAGGGATTTTGAAATGTTGCTGAACTTAAAGCAGGTCTGAGCTTGGGAACACTGTGCTGATGAGTGCCCTGCAGAGCTGGTTAAAAGGCTCCAGAGAGAACTGAGTGGGGTTTGCTAGAAAATGGTCCTTGATTCCCTTTGCAACCCCAGGAGCCCTCCCTGGGCTGACCCAGACAGCTGGAGGGAGGGTCTGGCCAGGCTGGAGGGAGAGCCAGGGCTGTGAGTGCCACTGCTGCTGTCAGAGCTGGATTGACTCCCCTGCACAGGCCAGGGAACACTCTGGAGCACTGGCTGTGGGTGTAGGGTCTCCCTGGATTTCATGGATGTGCTCCTGGCCTGGCACACACAGGTGCTGAAGGGGTGAGTGCACTGACACGTCCTTGTTTGTCCCTTAGGAACAAACATGGCAAAGTGATCAAACCTCTGCAGTTTCAGTCCACCGTGGCACCAGGCACAGTGGCGAGGGTGGAGCCAAATATCAAATGGTTTGGTGAGTTTTGTTCAGCTTCCAGACTCATCAAGCTGAAAAACTGTTGAGCTTTGTGTGTTGGAGGGTGTTTGTTTCACAGCTGTGGTCTGAGGGCCGTGTGGGGCAGGGACTGAGCTGAGGGACCCCTCACCTCTGGCTGTGCTCTGGGCGTTTGGTTTCCCTAAGGGTGGTTATTCTGGTTCCTGTGGTCAGTCCCTGGTGTTTGCCCATGTACATGGATTTTAAGTGTCCTAGAGATAGTTTTAAAATTTCCTTTAAATGGTGGGAAAGAGAGGGATTGGCCTGTTTGTGCATATTTGGAATCCCAAAGTCTCGAGTAAAATCCTCTGGTTTCGTCCCTGGTGTTTTTGATCCCAGACAGAGAGTTCCTGTTTTATTGGTGTCCCTGGGGTCTGTGGAGCAGTTAAATGAGGAATGGCCAGGTGCAGTGTTTGTTTTTACATGCAGGGAATACTCGTGTGATCAAGCAGTCGTCCCTCCAGAAGTTCCAGGAGGAGATGGAGACGGTGATGAAGGATCCTTACAGGGTGGTCATGAAGCAAAGGAAGCTGCCCATGTCCCTGTTCCATGATCGGATCAAGCCACACGTGGGTGTCACTCCCTGTGCAGGGGGGGCTGTCGGGAGAGGCATTTACCTGTGGACATGTCTCTGCTCAGTCTGGGGAAATGTTAGTTCTGGAAGCTTTGGGAGAGGCAGCTGTAGTGGATTCCTTGGGGAAGGATGGTTCTGATTCCCTGTCACTGTGGGCATTGAGTGTTAGGGCAAAGAAACAGTGAGAAGATACCTTATTTAATACAAATTCTCATTTTGCATTGGGAAATTACCCAAAAATCCTTCCCTGTGAGGGTGGAGAGGCCCTGGCACAGGTTTCTCAGAGAAGCTGTGGCTGCCCCATCCCTGGAAGTGTCCAAAGCAGGTTGGACAGGGCTTGGAGCAACCTGGGCTAGTGGAAGGTGTCCCTGCCCGTGGCTGGGGTGGGACTGGATGGGCTTCAACGTCCCTTCCAACACAACCATTGTGGGATTCTGTGATAGGTTATGATATTACCATATTACAATATATTTTCTGATAGGTTTGTGTGCCTGCTGATGTTCTGAATGTTCTAATGCCTCTAACAGCTCCTGGACCTTTTCTGAGCCTGTTTCACACTGCAGACACTGGGGATGAATTTGAACGTGTGTTTTATCCTGTATCACAAATCCTTGTGCATGCAGACTTCATTTCTAGTACATCAAGTTTTAGTTATTGCCAGTTTTTTTCATGGTGTCTGAACTATTATTCTGGACTCTTGGTAGCTATTTTGTCATATGGAAACTTTTTAAGTTTTATGTAATAAAAATGTTACTTAAATTAAGAAAAGGTTATGTCAAAATGTGCATTACAAAAACAAATTGCTGCTTTCAGCAATGAATTGTTTGGTGTTCCAAGAAAAGTTGGCTTTCATTGCAAGCTTTAAAAATCTACAATTTTGATGGTAATTGTCCCTGACAAAAATCTGAGAATTTGGCGAGATTTATGCTCTTGTTAGAAAAATAAGAAATGATCAAAGATAGCAGCTGAATTTTCATCATTGTGGCTGTAATTGCATTTGACACCATTTATGGTGGAAGAACTGAAGCATAGTTCTTTGGCAAGTGCACAGTGTTTCGTTGCTTATTAAATATCCACTCTTATGTTTCCCAAAGCTTAAGCTGGAAAACTCAAACATTGTTATGGACATGCCTGTCACTTGTCACAGGCTCCAGGGCTGTGTTGAACTCCAGGCTTCTTCAGTATCTGTCACGAGAGATGGAAAAAGTGGTGCTTGGGGTTTTTTTTTACCAACCTGTTTTTCCTCAGACCTCCAGGGTTCACATTCTTGACACGGAAACATTTGAAACAACGTTTGGCCCCAAATCACAGAGGAAAAGACCAACGCTGTCTGCAAGTGATGTGCAGGCTCTGGTGGAGAATGCTGAGGCTTCCTCAGAGTCCTATGACCAGGACAAGGACCGAGACCTGGTGACAGAGGACACTGGTGTAAGGTGAATGGAAAGGAAAAATGATTCATTGTTTACTTGTCTGAAAAGCCAGCCTTGTTTTTAAAGAAGTATCTGGTACACCTATCAATGCTGTTACTGTGTGAGGACTAAGGAAAGTGAGATTAGCTGAATTTGGAATTTTGGCTAAATCCCAGCTGTTACTTGGGCCCCATCTTCTCTTTTGTCTGTAAAGGGCTTTAGAGAAGAGAAGACAACACTGTGACCCTGTTTCTGTGGTTGCTGATGTCTCTGGTGCTGTCTTCCAGGGATGAAGCACAAGAGGAAATCTTTAAGAAAGGACAGTCCAGAAGAATCTGGGGTGAGCTCTACAAGGTAAGTGGCATTTGGAATTCGCAGCAGAGTCATGTCTGTGACACAGGCAGGGGCTGCAGCACAGCACTGAAATCCTGTACAGCAACAGTGAGAGAAGCTCTAGGAGAAAACAGAGTTTCATTTCCAAATCTCTGCGTGACTGAGCTTGATTCTTGAGCTCTTGTCCTACTGGAACAAACATCGTTAAAATACATTATCTAGAGAAGGACTGGCAAAGCAAAGATAACAGTTTCTCTTGGATTCCTGGGGCTTCACCACAAGTAAACCAGTCATGTTCCCTGAAGTTTCTTTTGGCTAAAAACATCTGGTGTGTGGATGGGTTCGTCTTGGGAGAGCTCTGACCCTTAATTCCCTGTGAGCCACCTTGGCTGCTAGAGAAATGGAGACTGAGAGTTTATGCTCTTTCTCTGACTGTTAGGTGTGAAATTGCTTGACTTTTTGCTCTGAATTTCTGAATGTAGCTTAAAACCTTTTCATTTGGATCTAAAAGCACTGGGAATGATCGAGCAAAACAGATTTCAGTAAGAGGCTGCCAAAACTGCAGGAAAAAGCTGTGAAACAAATTCACTTGGCTTGAAGTAAGTCGTAAAATGACAGCTCCCTGCTGTAGATGCTTAGTGGACTAACAGCAGGTTCCTGCTTGGTTGTGTGTTTCATATTGATCCAGAAAACATCCTTTATACCCTGATCCATTATGAAATGGCAGAAGGGAATTGCTGCTGAATGGATGACGAACACTGGGGGTTTGTGTACTGAAGCAATTGGTTTTTTCACATTTGGGTGCGCTGTTTTCTTTCCCTGGTGCATAAGAACAGGTAAAAGCTATTCAGCTGTCCAGCCTGAATTTGGAGGGGATTTAGGAGAGGGGAGCATCAGTGGGTGTTAGTCTGAGCTTCACAGGTCTGCGGGGAAGTAGCAGTTGTTTGTGAAGGATACGAGATTTTTAAATTAATGCTGTAGTTTCAAAACGGACTAGTTTTCACTTGGGAGGTACAGATGTCTTGCTTTCTGTAAAATCCTTTCCTTCTGTGTGATTTTTTTATTTTTCAGGTGATCGACTCGTCAGATGTTGTTGTTCAGGTTCTTGATGCCAGGGATCCCATGGGCACTCGCTCCCCTCATGTGGAATCTTATCTGAAAAAGGAGAAACACTGGAAACATCTCATTTTTGTCCTGAACAAATGTGATCTCGTTCCTACCTGGGCTACTGTAAGCACAGTCCTGCCTGTTATTCCTTGGACCCTCTTTGTTCCTGTTGCAGCTTGGCTGTAACTCCATGCCAGTCCCCATGCTGGTCTGGAAGGGTGTACTGCAACTGGGGCACTGGGAGCTCTCTGCTTGCCTGCTGTAAAAGTAACAATTACCATGTAAATCTGTCCAAGTTTGGCCGAGTTGAGCAACACTCACCAGCCACAAATTCCCTACTTCCTCTGTCTGGATTTAACAGTTCAGCTGTTGTCTCCAGAGTATGCTAAATGTTAGTCTGCCTAGGATCCATATCCACCCCAGCTGGTTTGCTTTATGTCATTAAACTAATGAGTTTTAGCTAGCAGTGAAGGCGTTTTTGGGAAATTGTTTGTCTTTTATACAAACAATACTCAGTGCTTTTAGCTGTTGGGTTGGGGAAATGCTTCAAAGGTTCTTCCCTAGCGATGTTCATGGCCATTGCAGCTGTAAGCCCAGTGCAGACACTGTGCCCCCCTCTCTGAGCAGATGGTGTCACCCCCTCCAGCCCCAGGTCCCTAACCCAGCCTGTTTGCCTCTCCAGAAGCGTTGGGTTGCTGTCCTTTCCCAGGAGTATCCAACACTGGCTTTCCACGCCAGCCTCACAAACCCTTTTGGCAAAGGTGCTTTCATACAGCTTCTAAGGCAGTTTGGAAAGGTACAGAACAATTCTGGGGATCTCTGTGGTTGGGGTGGGGGAGTTAGTGTGTGGTGTTTTGCTTTGTTAGGGTTTGGGGCTCAGTGCTGCAGTGGTGTACAAGGATGTGTTATTTCTCACCAGTTACACTCTGACAAGAAGCAGATCAGCGTGGGGTTCATTGGTTACCCCAATGTTGGCAAGAGCTCAGTGATCAATACCCTACGATCCAAGAAGGTCTGCAATGTGGCCCCCATTGCAGGGGAAACAAAGGTAAGAACATCCCTGTGTTACAGATACAAATAATCTTGTGCTCGAAGGCAGAATTGGTGTGAAATCAGCCCGATGACGTTGGCAAGTCCAGCACTGAGCTGCACAGGCTGTGTGGCCCAAGGAGTGGCTGATGGGCAGTCCCTTCTCTGAGGCACTGCTCTGGCAGCATTCCCAGGTTCCCACTGTGCCACTCTGCAGTCGTGGGAGTGCTCCATGCCTGTGCTCTCCTGAACCAGGCGCTGGCTCAGGCTCTGTCAGTGCCGGTTCTGTGACTCGTCCTCCCAAACAGGACAGTAACCAAGCACTGAAGAGCAGCTGCTGCTCTGTCCCAGGTGTGGCAATGCTCTGTCCCAGGTGTGGCAATGCTCTGTTCCAGGTGTGGCAGTACATCACCCTGATGCGGCGCATCTTCCTCATCGACTGCCCCGGGGTGGTTTATCCGTCGGGAGACACGGAGACAGACATCGTGCTGAAGGGAGTGGTACGTGTCTGCACGGGGGCTGGGGAGCTTTGCTGTTGTCCGTGGGGTGGGCTCAGAGGATGAATACACACTTCCAAAGGGCTGATCCTCTACCGTGTGTTTTCAGGTTCAAGTTGAAAAGATTAAGAGCCCCGAAGACCATATTAGTGCTGTGCTGGAAAGGGCCAAAGCAGAGTACATCAGGAAGACATACAAAATTGATTCCTGGAAGGATACAGAAGACTTCCTTGAGAAACTTGCTGCTAGGACTGGAAAACTGCTAAAGGTGTGACAGCTTCCTGCATTTGCAGGCTGGAGAGCATGGGGCTTACAAGGCTTAGGAAGGCACTGTGCCCTGCAAATGTGAGCAGAGATTGTTCCTGGTTCTTTCAGGGTGGTGAGCCTGACTTGCAGACTGTGAGCAAGATGGTTCTCAATGACTGGCAGAGGGGCAGAATCCCATTCTTTGTGAAGCCACCGAATGCAGAACCAGGTGAACCAGGTTCCCAGGTGAGAATGTGAAGCTCATGCCTTCTCTTCTACATATTATTTGATTTTCTTAATGGCACTCACTGCTGCTTTTCCCAGAGTGCCATGAGACTTGGGCAGTGACTGGGCTCTGCCCAAGCCTGGTCTCTCAGGTGACACTTGAAGTCGGTGAGGACCAGGTTTGTGCTGTGCTCTTTACAGAGATATCTGAGCCACTGCTGACTACCAGAAATGTCAGTGATTATCACATTGTCATCGGAGGCTTTTTCCAAAGAGAAAAAATAGAAGTTGGAGATGATGGGACAGACTTTGTGGATAATATATCCATGACACTCTTCCTTGCAGCCTCCTGCATTGGAAGCAGCTGTGACCTCAAGCCAAGATAATACTGAGGAGAAAGTCTCTGAGTCGATGGCATCAGGTGTGGAGCCAGAAGAGAGGAACAACCCAGACACTGAAATCAGGCAGCTCATGTCCCACGTTCGGCAGAACTTCGGCAGGATTAATGTGGCACCTCAGTTCTCGGAAGAAGACCTGGTTCCTGTGGATGTGCCAGGCTTTGATGAGACAGACAGTGATTCCTGTGGAGAGGAAGAGCAGGAGGAGGAGAAGGAGGAGAATGAGCAACAGCAGGATGCAGGAGAGGAGGAATCGCAGGTGGCTGCACCGGGTGCCAGGGAGAGTTCTAAAGCAGTTCTTAAGGCTCTGGAGGACAAGATTGCAAAATACAAAAAATTCCTGGATAAAGCCAAAGCCAAGAGGTTCTCAGCAATAAGGTACCTGAATCTGTCCAATGTTTTGCAGGGGAGGAAAGGGTTGATGTGACTCTGCTGTAGTTCCATTCCATGCCTGACTTGCTTGACAGTTCCCCTGTGCTGCCTCACATAAGCCACAGTTTGTCTGGTTTAGCCATAAGGGTTGGAAATTTGGCCAAGCAGCAGTTTGTTTTTGAAAGGTTATTCCAAGAAGTGCTATTTACCAGCATAATTAAAAATGTTCTCACTTTTGAAAGTTGCCTCTTAAGCTATGGGTTAGAAATCTCTTGGTATTCTGAGCAGCAAAATTGTATCCTTGGATCTCTCCTTGATGTTGGGTTATACCAAAGCTGATTCCTACCTCGATATGCCAGGTGGGTCCCTGTGCACATGCAGAGTATCCTGGCCCATAGAGCAAGTCCAGTTTTAGCAAAGCTCACTCACCAGCCTTGTGAGGACGGAGATTTCAAGGTTAAGGGTTATATTTTATCTCTTGTGCAGCACACAAGCCCAGTAACTCCAGAGACAAGAGTACTGCAATATGTTTTTTAGGTGCAAAGACTGTGGCTTTGGTGCTGACTGGGGTCTGCTGGAGACCGGTGGCTTCTTGGTTTGTGTTACAACAACCTTTTATTGCTGATTTTATCTTCTGTAGAATCCCTAAGGGACTGAGTGACAAAGTGTTTGCAAAATCCATGCAGAAGGCTGAAGAATCCAAAGAAACTGAAGACAGAGGTAAAACAAGATTAGTTAATGTTCTTAATCTGTGTTGGGAAATCCTGTGAACCAGAGAAGAAAGGGAGTTAGGGGGAGAAGCATCCACTGGCTCCTGCATCCAAGTTCTTTTCCCCTGAAGCTGCTTAAATGTCCCTTTAGCTGACCCCAGAGCTGCTGCTGACCTGCTATAGCCTCGGTGTAGAACACCTGTCTGTGTGATGGGAGATGTCCCTGTGAGTGAGGGAAGGTCCAGAGAAGGCAAATGTTGGGTTCCCAACAGCCTGGGCTCCAGGCTGCAGCCAGAGCAGCTCCCTCTCCCTGGGGTGTTACACAAGAGGGAGTGAGGGGGGTAGGGACGTTATAAAAGCACAGAGATACTTCACTCTGTAGGTTTTACTGTGGCTTCAGTTGCCATAGGCAATTTGATTAAAGGCACAGTCAGTGGGAGAGCCCCATTCTGAAAGGACTATGGCAGTCTCCTGGGCTTACTTGAGGCTGGAAGCAATCTGCTTCTTGAGAGCAGCTTTCATAGTAATAGCTACTGATTCTCTGGTGAGGAGCATGCACGTTGTTTGGGTAGAAGCTGTTAAATAAGGCCAAAGGAATGCATTGCTCAAGGAGTTGGGATGGTGACCCCAGTCTGAAGTTCTGCAAACAAATGGGTGTTCTGGAAGATACCCAACTGTGTGATTTCTGCTGGTTGCAGGCAGCACGGAGAAGAAAAGAAAGAGGAAAGCAGAAGAGGGAGGTGATGATGATGATGACCAGTTGGGTAAACAGCCTTGCAAGAAACTCACATCCAAAGAAGTAAGTGTGATTTCTTGTAGTACAGCTGAGCAGGGAAATAGAGTGGCTTTTTTATCCGTGGATTGCCCGTTACCACTAAAGAGCTTTGAGATTCAGCCTGAGCAGGAGGGGAGTGAAGACTGAATTCTGTTATGAATGTCCTGTCACAACTTATGTCACAGCCCTCTTACCTGACTCTGCACACTAGGTTGCTTCTTTTATCTTGTTGACTACTCATGTAAAGATTGAAGCGTAGCTTTCTTTTTTAAGAGCATAGGTGGGTGGGTTCCCTATAGGTTCTCATCAGTAACTTTTGTTGGAAATTATTTATTTTACTTAAGGCGTGTGGAATGTGAACACCATGGAGAGTTGCAGACATTGAGGCTATGGATGCTGGGGATTTGCTAATGTGTTTTGTCTGTGTTTGCAGAGGAGACGAGCCGAGAGGCAGCAGCGCTCCAAGAAAGTTGGAGTCCGGTATTATGAAACTCACAACGTGAAAAATAAGAATAAAAACAAGAAAAAAACTGGCTTGGAGGAACAAAGATCAAAGCACAAAAAATACAAACATAAGCAATAGCTGCTTATTCTATTAAATTTTACATAAAACAGTTCTAGTATGCGGTGGCTTTTTTTACTATAAAACTTGCAGTTCCCGTTCAAAGCCCAGTGTGACCGGTCTGTCCTGGCCCCAGGAGCAGCATCTCCCTCTTTGTTTCTGCATCATCTGAAAGTTCTTTGTGCAGTTGGAGCTGATGGTATTTCCACATCTCCATCCCAGGCCAGCAAATCCTGCACTGGCCAAACAGCTCCTCCAGTGTTGCTCAGTGGTGGGTTTTGGGTGGGTTTTTTTCTGGAAACCGGCTTTCTGGGGGTTTTCACATGACTGCAGGGAATTCTCTTTCCCATGACTGCTTGCTGTGGAACCAGCTGCTTACACAGGTACCTCAAGTAAAGATTTCATTTGCTTCCACTGAAAAGTGAATCCATGACTGGCAAGGGTTCCCTTTGTCTCACTAGAAACGATCGGGCCGAGTGCTTCACTTACCACTGACAGGGATTTCCAGGTACAATGGACACCAATTTGCAGGTGCTCAAGGAAATACCCCAGACACCTAAGAATCATCTGCTATTCGTTTCTTGGTGCATGGGACTTGCAATTCTTGTAGACACCTTTATGTTGTTTCTGAATTTTCTACAACATTTTCAAGTTAATAATATCAGAGAGATGTTTGCATTTAAAAATGTTTATTAGTTATTGCTTTGAAGGTCATTAGCACATTACCAACAGGCAAGTCCCAGACACGTTCACTGCTCAAAGAGCTGACTGCTGAGATGGCACTGAAAGAGGGAGCAGTAATTAATGAAGCTCTTGAATTTCAACTCTTCAAGAGAGAAAGAAAGAAAGAAAGAACACAGTAATGCTGCCTTCAGTTACTGGTAAGTGAAAACTCAAGATCGTTGTAGGAAGACAATTCTTTGTCACTAATTGCAAGCTTCTTGCTCTGACAGCTTTTCTGAGCCTGCCTCGAGGACAACAAAACAATTAGTTCTTTGCTGCAATGATGCTTTCAAGTTGTGTCTGAAAAACAAATGAGACAGTGAGGCAAATTAGATTCAACCTAAGAAATAAACCTGCAGTGCTGAGGGACTAAACTGTTGGATGTTCACATTGAGGAACTGAGGGATCCTGCACTGCTGCCAGGAGAGCCAGGCCAGGTTTGTTCCCCAGCCATTCCATTCCTTACTACATGTTTTATAAATTAGCTTGTCGTTCCTGGCATGCCCAGTTGCTGCATTCTGAGGAGAACAGAGCTGGCCTTGGCTCTGTGCACTGAGACACGGCTTAGAATGTAAAGCATCAAGGGGGAAATTAAATAAAAGCTGTTGAAACAGTGGTCTGAATTCTCTGATTTCAGGCTGGACTATGTGAGCTAAATTAAATATTTGGCTCTCTAGCATTTGGAACACAAACTGACTCTGAGACTAAAGGAGCTGGGAACAGCAAGTTTTGTGATTACTGAGACAACTTGACGCCCAGTTAGTGGATTGATGGGAGCTGCCCCCAAAATAACCCCCAGCAGTGGCACACACAGCTGCTGGAGTACAGGCACTTCAAGGAAAAAGCCATGGATTCAGGGGCAACGCACGTTTGATCTAACAGTTACTCCATTTTGTGCCCTAAAACATTCCAAGACAGCCTGAAAATGTGGGTTGGCAAGTAGGTCCTGCAGGAGAAGTGAAGGTAAGGAAAGCAGCTTGCTCTAAGGGAAATGTTTTTACCTGTAGCCAACATTGCTGTTGTGCAGGGTGACATTCTTTCCTTACTCGAAAGATGTGGGATTTTTCCTTTCAAAACCAGAATATGGAGCAGAAGTTCTTCTCACCAAAGCCACATGCACAAATAATTACCCAGTCCCTGCTGCAGGAGTATGCAGTTCTCTTGGGTAATATTTAATGTTCAGGGGTGTGTTGTGTTCCCAGAGGGGGAGCTTTAGTGGCTTTAATGAGAATGTTACCATTAGTATTTGGAGTTGTGGTTTTTTACTGACCTTCAGCTGCTGGTTTGTCCGTTTGAGGAACAGAACCTCCTCGTTGTGTTTCTTCTCCTCTATCTCTCGCCGTTCTACTTCTTGTTGTTCAATAGCCTCACATTTGGCTTTCTCCTCACTCACTTGCTTTTCCAGCTCCCTCCTTTCCTCTTCCAGCTCTGCAATCTTGGGAAAGAGCACGGATCTCTCAAGTTTTGTTGATGAATAGTCAATTTTCAGTTAAAAGTGGTGTGTGGTACAGTCTCTAAAGCATTTCAGGTACAACAGAACCAGGCTTCAGGAGCGCAGCAGAGCCCGAGGACTGCGAGCCGAGCGTTTTGATGGTCTTTGCTGCCATCCCGCGGCAGCACCCCCGACTCACCCGTTTCTCCATGAGGGCCTTGCCCTGCTCTGCCTGCAGCGCCTTGCGCACGCCGAAGGCCACGCTGCTCTCGTACAGCGCCTGGTAGGCGGCCAGGGTGAGCTGCAGCTCGTCCCGCACCCGCAGCAGCAGCAGCCCCCGCTCCGCGCAGCTCACCGTCGTCTGCCGGATCAGCTCGTCTGCAAGGGAGGCACAGCACCTGCAGCGCGATCTCTGGGAGTGCTGCACACACACGCAGGGCCCCTCTGACCGTTCTCTGCTCCACAGGAACAGGGTTTTACCAGAGCAGCAGATAAAAGAGTGATGGTGCAGCCCCTCAAGTAACAGCAGTGGTGCTGATCCCCTAAAGCTGTAACAGGGAACACCTAAGAACGTGTAATGACTTTTTGCAGTTACAGGGGAGCCTCTAGGGGATCCTGCTCCAACCCATGGCCACCCCTTGCATTTGGAAGACCAGCGTTGTGTGCTGTCAGTGTGTGAGTTAGACAGGCTTCTGAGCTATTTTAAATGAGCTGTTGGGTAAGTACAACTAAAAGGATTTTGAGCTGTTCTGCACGTGTCAGCACGTGTTGCCAGCCCTGTCCTTTGCGTGTCAGCGGTGGGAGGAGCACTGACCGAAGCACTGTGTGTAGAGCTCCCTGCGCACGGGGCACAGCCCGGTCTCCCGCGCCTGCCGCTGCTGCAGCTGCCGGTCCAGCTGCTCCTGCAGCTGCACGACGTCCCGGCGGGTGCTGGGCGCGGTGGACACCTCCTGTACCCAGAGCTTCTGCGCCTCCTCCCACTCCCTGCCAGAGAAGCAGAAGCGTTATCGAGCGCCCCGGGGCCCGCCGGGCGCTGCCGGCCCCGGCCCGGCCCCGCTCACCGCGGCGGCAGGATGGCGTTCAGGAGCTCCTGCGGGTGCTTCGGGGAGGGGCTGACGGCGCCGGGTGTCCGGGGCGGCGGCGAGGGGGTCGCCTTCGCCGAGCGGGCCTGCGGGGGCCGGAGAGGAGAGCGCGGTAGGAGCGGGCGGGGGAGCGCGGCGCCCTCGGCCCGCTCGCCCCCGGCAGAACGCGGTGCTCCTCGGTGCCCCTGTCCCCGCTCACCCCCGCAGAGGCCCTGTCGCCCCGCCGGCTGATCAGCTGTGGTGGGCAGTAGCGCAGCAGCGACTCCGGCGGGGCCGCCATGGCGGCCAAGGGCGTTGTTGCCGTGGCGACCGCGACGCCGCGGCCCCGCGCAGGCGCAGCAGCGCTCAGGCGGGCGGAAGTGGCGCGAGACCGGAAGTGGCTGCACTTCCGTCGGCACGGCCGCCATGGAGGCGGGGGGGGAGCGGCGGCGGGAGCGGCGGCGAAGGGACGCGGCCGTGAAGGCCGAGCGGCGCAGCCCCCGGCGCAGCCCGTCGCCGCCGAGCGAGGAGCGGCGGGGCAGCCGCGGCAGCAGGTAGGGAGGCCCGGCTGCTCGGGCCCCGCTCACTGCCCGGCCCCCGCCGCTCACCCCCCCTCCCGTTGTTTTCCAGGTCGCCCCGGCGGAGGAGCCGGTCCGGACGGAGGAGCCGCTCGCCCCGCGGCAGGAGGAGCCGCAGCCGCAGCCCGTACCACGGCACCGTGAGGGTGAAACAGGTAAAGGGTGCTGTCGGTGCGGCGTGGCCCCGGTGGCTGTTCCCGGAGACTCGACCGTGCCGGGCACGTGAGGCGCCTCCTCATTCGGCAGTTCGGTTCTGCGGCCCCTGCAGCCCGTCCCTGAGCGGAGGGAGGGTCTGGACGGGTCTGCCCACCCCAGGCCGTGCCAGCGGTGACCGGAGCACCCGTGCGAGCCCAGCCTGTGCCGCGGCACGGACGTCCCTGGCAGCTGCACTCTGAGCCCAGAGCTGGCGATACCACCTGTTTCTTGTGCTTCAGTCGGTGCAAATTGTGGGAACGGGAGTCATTTGGGCGGGAGATCTGTTTGTCTGGCGCTGTGTCAGACCTGGACACGCCTGCCTCAGAGCGTGCTGTTGGTGTGTGGGGTTGGGGTTTCGCTGGGACCCAGAGCCTGTCCCTGTGCCCTGCAGGAGCGGGACGAGCACGGCCGCAGGGGCAACGAGGAGCGCAAGCCCAGGCACTCGTCAGAGCGGGAGCAGCGGCGGGACCGGAGTGGGGACCGGGACCGGCACAGGGACCACTCGGAGCGCAGGAAGAACCCGGGGGCTCGAGGCCACGAGCGGGACGCGCAGACCCTGCGGGAGCAGCAGGCAGAGAGGGAGCTCTACAACGAGAGGCGGCGGGAGCACCGGCAGGGCAGCGCCGAGCACAACCCCGAGCTGCGGCTGCCCGAGGGCAAACCCAAGGAGAAGGCGGCCGCCAACAAGGAGAAGCCGAGCTTCGAGCTGTCGGGGGCGCTGCTGGAGGACACCAACACGTTCCGGGGGGTGGTGATCAAGTACAGCGAGCCCCCCGAGGCGCGCGTGCCCAAGACGCGCTGGCGCCTGTACCCCTTCAAGAACGACGAGTTCCTGCCCGTGATGTACATCCACCGGCAGAGCGCCTACCTGCTGGGCCGGCACCGCCGCATCGCCGACATCCCCATCGACCACCCCTCCTGCTCCAAGCAGCACGCCGTCTTCCAGTACCGGTGAGCCCCTGGGAGGGATGAAGCACAGACCAAACCCCCTGCAGTGCACGGCTGTCGGTGTGTGTGAGGGCCAGGCAGTGGAAGGGTTTAGGGGAATTTGTTTTCCAAACTTGGGGACGCTCAGCATACCAACACAAGTCTGCACTGGGCCTGAGAAAGAGACACACTCTCTGTTCTTCTCAGGGCTTTTGTCACCCCTGGCCCCCCCACTCCCCTGTGGGGCCTTCAGACATGTCTGCAAGAACTCATCTTCTCTCATACCCGGGAGTCAGCTCCTCTGGAATGCAGGAGGAGAAAACATTTAAAACTGTCTCTGGGAAAGATACCTTTTTCCAGGCAGGAAAGCTTCCTTAAGCGAAAAACCCAAATCTCCTCATAGTAAAATTTCCAGAAGGGTCTTCTACACTTACATTATGTTAGAAATGGAATTTCTGTGTGACTGCCATGGGTTCTCCCAGCAGTGACCCAAAGATACCTTTAATTCCTCTTATTTAACCACAAGTAGAAAAATGACACAGTGGGGTTAGACACAGGGCAGGGTGTGAACCCGGGTTGGAATCACACTAGGTGTGATTGGCAGTGAAAGCATTTCAGGGAGAGGTTTGTTGCTTTGCTCTCTCGCTCAGCAGGGGGGTGCTGCTGCCAGCAGTGGTGCTCTCTTGGGGAACATTATCTCTCCCAGTGCAAGAGTTGCTGTGTGAAATCACCAGAGGCTTAGGGGATGCTGCAGCCTCTCAGAACCTGCTCTGCCACACACAGTTTCTCATTGCTCTCCTCGGCCTGTTCTGCTCTCTGCAGAAACCCACTCGCTCGTGGAGCACGATTTCTGTCTCACCTGCCTTTGGGGCACGTTCTCTGTGCCTCTCTTGTGACTCAGTGTTTGTGTTTTGCAGGCTGGTGGAGTACACCCGAGCTGATGGCACCGTGGGCCGCAGGGTGAGGCCCTACATCATCGACCTGGGCTCGGGGAACGGCACCTTCCTCAACAACCAGCGCATCGAGCCCCAGCGCTACTACGAACTGAAGGAGAAGGACGTGCTCAAGTTCGGGTTCAGCAGCAGGGAGTACGTCCTGCTCCATGAATCCTCAGATAAGTCTGAGGCCAATGCAAAGGACGATGATGAGGATGAGGAAAAGGAAGAAGAGTCTGACAGTTAACAGATGAGGAGGAAGTGTGAGAGGGGCAGAGGAGAGAAACTCTTTGCAGTTGAACGGGATGACCACGGAGCATCACAGCGCTGATGCCTCTTGTTGCCTTAAAGTCCTTTTTCTGTTGCTGGTCTGTTCTCACAGTTTGTCTTGGGGGACTTTGCTGATTATTCATCTTTTATAGGTTTTGCATATCAGGAAATACAGCTTTACTTTTATTTTTCTCCCAACAAGCAGAAGAGCACCTGGACATGAAAGCTCTGGTGCTGGAAACCCTGCACACACAGTGCCAGCAAACCATGTCAAACACAGATGACATCTGGAAAATTATTTTTATGACCTGTTTTGTTATAGCCCTTTGAAAATACTACAGACTGAAATGTTAGTTAGAGAGTCCCCGATGCACGTCCCGTTCAGTAGTTTGCCAAATTCTTCTGCCTGTTGGAAGTTCTGACAGGAGAATTTATCCAGGTCACTGCTGAAAGGGCAGAAATGTGGCAAAGCCCCTCCTGTATTTGTATGTTTTGGGTATTTAATTTGCCTCATGGTGGCTGAGGGAGGGCATTTCACTGGATTTTTGCCTGGAAATCACAAGGGAACGTGAAACAGAAGTTAAACACTTCCTGGGATTTCAGGTGACTAGGCTGTGACGGGGGCTGAGGGCAGGGTCTGCCCACATGTTCCCACATTCGATGCTGACGCTGTCCTTGAATGTGGAGTGTCTGGGTCAAAAGCTGGAGCTGTTATTTCTGATCCCACCCTGCCACAGCGTTTGTTTGTTACACAGAAACTCCTTCAATGTGGTGACACGTTTGAACCAGAGTTTGCACTATTTAAGTTCTCTTTTTATAAAAACTTACCTTAGTTCCTTGTTTAACTCAGTCTCCCCCTGTAAAGAAATCGCGTTTAGGAAGAGAAGCACCAATCTCACTCACTGGGGGTTGCATAGTGTTTGCTGTCTCCTCCCCATCGCTTTATGTTAAATGTGTATTTCCCACACTTCGCGGGGTGTTTGTGGCCGCACCTGTTTGTTCGTCCCTGCCGTGTACAGACTGTCCGCCGGCCGTTCGCGTTGTACACGCGGCTGGAAACGCTGACGGTGTAAATACGGGCCATTGCCGTGGGGTTTCGGACGGGGGTTTGAGCAGGAGGAGCTCCTTTATATCTACTCCAGGAGGTTTTTAAATAAAGGCTTTGTAAATCCCCCGGGTGGCCGTGCCGCTGTCCCCGGGCCGCTGTCCCCGGGCCGCTGTCCCCGTGCCGGTGGTGTCCCCGTACCGCTGTCCCCGGGCCGCTGTCCCCGTACCGCTGTCCCCGTGTCGCGGTGTCCCCGTACCGCTGTCCCCGGGCCGCTGTCCCCGTGTCGCGGTGTCCCCGTACCGCTGTCCCCGGGCCGCTGTCCCCGGGCCGCTGTCCCCGGGCCGGTGGTGTCCCCGTACCGCTGTCCCCGTACCGCTGTCCCCGGGCCGCTGTCCCCGGGCCGGTGCCGGGTGGGCTGGGCTGGCTCGGGGGTCCCGCCCCGCCGGTGCCGCCGCCGCCCCCGCGCGGCCGCTGCCGGTACCGCGCGCCCCGCCCCGCGCAGGCCGCGCCGCCATGGCCGCGCTGCACGCCAAGGCCGGCGGGCCCCCGCAGATCCCGGACACCCGCCGGGAGCTCGCCGAGCTGGTGAAGCGCAAGCAGGAGCTGGCGGTGAGCGCCGGGAGGGGCTCGGTGCGGTCCGGGGGGCGGCCCGGGGCGGGGGGGCGGCGGCGGCGCGGCCGGGCCTGCTCCATGCGCCGCGGTGTTCCCGGCAGGAGACGCTGGCAAACCTGGAGCGGCAGATCTACGCCTTCGAGGGCAGCTACCTGGAGGACACGCAGATGTACGGGAACATCATCCGCGGCTGGGACCGGTACCTCACCAACCAGAAGTGAGTGGCAGAGGCTCTGCCCGCCCGCCCGGCCCCCCCCGCCGGCCCGGCCCCGCCATCGCGCCTGTCTCTGTTTCAGGAACTCCAACAGCAAAAACGACCGGAGGAACCGCAAGTTCAAGGAGGCCGAGAGGCTCTTCAGCAAGTCCTCGGTCACCTCGGCAGCGGTGAGTGCCGGGATGGGCACCGGCAGGACGAGCAGATGCTCCTGACCCCAGGACCGTCCCTGTCCCCATCCCCGCCCCCATCCTTATCCCCATTTATGTCCTAATCCCCATCTTCGTCCCCTTTCCTGTTTTAATCCCTGTTTCCTTCCCTGTCCCCATCTCTGTCCCCATCCCTGTCCCTTGGTGCCCCGGTCCTGCCATGCTCCCCTGCGCTGCTGCAGAGCCACTTTTCCACTGGAACTCTTGCACCTGCCCTGTCTCCCTGACTGAGCACCTCCATCCCACCCCACAGCATCTTCCAGAGCCCCTTTCCCGGATGTCCAGGGAGTGGGAGGGCAGTCAGAACCCCGGGCCCCTGTCTCTGGTGTCACTGCTGTCCCCTGGCTGTCCCTGCTCCACACCCTCTGTGCCTCTGGGCCATGGGCACTTCTGAGGGACGTGTCTGTGTGAGCTGAGCTCTGTGCTCTGAGCATTGGGAAATGAATCTCTGCTTGCCTTGACATCCCTTTCGGTTTTCCAGGCTGTCAGTGCTTTAGCTGGAGTCCAGGACCAGCTCATTGAGAAGCGTAAGTCACTTTGTCATTTCTCTGGGAATTTGGGAAGAATTTCACTCTCCCCACCATTCAGCCCTGCTTCAGCTCTCCAGATCTGGGCTGGACTCGGGGCTCCTGTCCCAGGCCCTGTGGATGCTGCCCTTGGGCTGCTCCCGGCCACTCCAGTGGGTGCTGTGAGGAACAACTGGAGTTGAACTTCCTGAGTACCTTCCACGCTCAGCAGGGGTTTGTTGTGCAGAAAATGAATTGAAGTGGGTTTTTGCTTTTTGGAGGAAGAGGCTGGAAGAGCTGGAGCGCCTCATCACTGTAGGTGTGTCAGTCGTGAGGGACGTGGAGAGGGGCCACTTACCTCCAGGATATTTAAAAACATTTCTGTGATCAGCACCAAATGGGATGTGGTTCCAGAGAGCCTCAGTGCTGAGGAGCAGCTTCCTCTGTCCTGCAGAGATGTTTCCCAGGTTGTGTGATTCACCTCCCAGTGCTGCAGGGCTCAGGTGTCTCTGCTGCTGTTCTGGGGTTGTTTGTCCCACTCAGGGCTGTGCCTGGGCAGCCGGGAGCTCACCTGGGTTTGTCCCGCTCTAGGGGAGCCAGGCAGTGGCACAGAGAGTGACACTTCTCCAGACTTCCACAACCAGGAGAATGAGCCCAATCAGGAGGATGCTGAAGAGCTGGATGGCTCCGTGCAGGGGGTGAAGCCCCAGAAAGCTGCTTCCTCCACTTCCTCTGGGAGCCACCACAGCAGCCACAAAAAACGGAAGAACAAAAACAGACACAGGTCAGTGGGATCAGCAGCCTCTTCGACACCTGAACAGGTGGCTGGGGCTGGATTGAATTTATTGTAACCTTCGGAATAACGGGCAGCTGGGGTCAGTTGTTGGGGAGGTTTTCCTGGTTTGTAGCTGTGCATCCCGTGGCATTTGGCAGGACCCCGGGGCCCTTGTACTGAGCTGGGGAAAGTGCTGGGGAAGTTAAACCAGCAGCACAGGGTGCTCCCTCCAGCTGTGGCACAGCTGTGCTGGGCAGCTTCTCCAGCTCTGCTTTCTCTCCAGGAAGATAAAGCTGTTTCCTTCCAGCAGGTCCTGACCTCCTGTTCTTGCTGCTTGGTTTCTGCAGATCCCAGTAAGACAGGAATGTCAGTGCTTTCTTTGGAGGAGGGGGGAAAGCAAATGGGAATGTTTTGGGGGTTGTGGGCACTCCCAGTATCTGGATTTCCACTCCAATGCCTTCCAGCTCTCATATCCCAGCCCAGGCTCCGTGCTGGCAAAGAGGAGTTGCTGTGTCACCTTCACCTCAGAGTGTTTGTTATTAAACTGACCCGAAATTCACTTGAAACACATTCCCAGAACTCGTTCTGGTTGGATTTATCTGTCCAGCTCTGCCCCTAAGGTGTGATGAGGGTGATGGGCTGGTGGCTCAGACCCTGCAGTGACAGGGCCTGTGAGTCAGGCCCTGAACAGGGAAAAACATGGAAATCCATGGAGAGGAGACACTGCAGAGCTGCACCTTCCTGGAAAGATTCCTGGAGCTGGGACCTAAGGATTAATAGAAGTAATGGAGCTTTTAAAACTCCAGAGTGCCCGTGCTGACTCTGAACTGTTGGCTCTGGGAAGAGACGGGCTTCCTCTTTAAGGGACTTGCCCATGCAGTTAAAGAGAGAAGTGGTTTAAAGTGGTAAAAGTTTACAAGGGGGGCTGGGGGCATTTGGGGTGGGGACATGAGGTAGGTACACTGCTTGAAAAATGCTTAACTCTTTTTTCTCCTTCATTAGGTGTTGAGTCATTAGCGTGTCTTTAATTCTTAGGTTAGAATTTCCTTCCTACAGCAGCCTGAATTGGGCAAACACCCAAAAGGACTGGATGTCCCTTTGGTTCCTCACGAGCTGGGAATCCAAAGAAGTTCAAATCTCTTTTTTTGCCTGTAGATATTTGGAAGAAGTTCAGGAATAACACAAGAAACTACATCCGTGAACAAGTCCAGAGAAACAACCTGTAAAACTGAAGTACAGCTTAAGAAAATTGTCATTTCAAACAAATTATAAAATACTCTCCCAAGCACTTCCCTGGACAAACCATGGCCAGCAACATGGTGGGGTGCAGGGCAGGTGCTGTAAATGATGTAAATCCCTTTGCTCCATTCCATAAACCCGGATTTTAGCGACAGGAGCTGGGGGAAGCTGCCCCTCGACAGGTTGTGTGGCTCTGGGTTCCTTCCCGTTCCTCCCCTCTGCAGCTGTGGCTGCTGCTGTCAGGTCGGGCTGTTGGACAGAGGAGCCCTGCTCTGCTCAGCTGGGGCAGCTCCATGTCCCCAGGACCTGTCAGACACACCTGCAGTGCTGAGGGGCTCAGGGAGGCAGGAATGGACTGTTTGTAATGCTTAACGGGGCCAGATAGATAACTAAAAGAAGACAATTAAATTTTTCTGTAATAAAAGCTCTGTTAAAATTGTGATTGCTGTTACTGACTATCCCCTAAATTTTGGCAGACAAGACCAAACAATTTTCAAGTATATTTAGGTTAAAAAAACCCAGCAACAACCCCATCCCAGTGATCTGAGTGTGCAGCAAGAGCGTTAACAGGCCCCACTCCAGCCAGACCTATGGGTCTGTGTCCTGAGTGTCCTGGCATGAAAAAGAGAAAAATAAAACGAAATGTTGGCGTTTCTCTTTGTTCAGAAGCTCTTCCATTCACCAGCACACCTCTGGGTTCCACTCCCCCATTCCTGGGGAGCCGGGAGGTGCTGGGAACAGGCCCCGGAGGGAGCACGGCCTCACTGGGGTTCCTTGTGGGGAACTGGGTCAGACTGGGCAGCACGGGGTGAACGGGACACAGCTTCAGCTACACACAGGGTGGAGGTTACAGAGCCTGTGCTGGCACCCTCTGCTCCCTCCAGCACCACAGGAAGGCCAGGATGGGTATTTTCTGTGTGCTCAGCCATTTCCATGGCTAACGAGTGTTTGAGGGAACGTGGACCTGTTTGGTCTTAGCAAAGCAGGGCTGAAATGGGGTTCCTCAGTCAAGCCTTCCCAGCCAGTGTCAGCCGTGGGCAGAGCTGAGTCTGAAGGCTGTGCTGTGGCACCTGTGGAAGGGGTGGGACTGTCACCAAACTAATCAGCTCTGGCCAAATAACTCTGGTCCCTCGTTAGCTGGGGGTGGTGCTGGGGGGGGAGTGTGGGGAGGAACAGCCTGGTGCTGAGTTGGGCACCAAGTTCTGTCGCCTCTGCCTGAACCACCTTTGCCTTGCCCTGGCAGCCCAGCCCACCCCTGCTCCCTGACCCCCCTCTTTGGTTTTCCAAGCCCACGAGTTCCTCTCCCAGCCCTGAGCTCTGCACTCACTCTCAGGGTCTGGCAGCTGCCCCTCTCAGCTCCTAAAATCCCCTCTGTAAACCAACCCCACCTCTGTGCTAACCTCTTGTTCCCAGAGATCCGGCGGGGAGGGGGACTCTGGATTGCCAGAGTGCTTTTGTGCCCAGTCCTGGTTAAGATACCTGAAGAACTCGATGGCGTTTGAACACTGGCTTTATTATTTATTTTATTTTTTAGCAATCTTGCTAGGGTGGCTAATCAACTAATTGATTTAATTCATTAGTATATTAATTTCTATTGCTTTCTTCCTTTCAAATGCTGCCCCTCAGCCCGTCTGGCATGTTTGATTATGACTTTGAGTAAGTTTGACTTGAATTAGTACTTGTGCTGTGTTGTTAGTGTGTAGACACCAATGTGCCTTTTGAGACCTCGCTAACCCCTAGTTTATCTGTTTAATTGTAGGTATGTATATTAGGTTAGGCTGGGAAGTTTTTTTTAAAAACAGAAAAGCGTGATGGAGGTAACATTTTATTTAATAACTTCAGCAAAAATTAAATTAACTTCACTCTTCTTTACCTTTCTGTTTCATATTTAAATAGATAAAACTTTTTAACTTTAAAACTTAGTTTAAAAACTGATTCTTCTGGCTTTGCTGCTTAAGGAGATTAGTATAGACTTCGATATTTCCTTCTGGAAAAATGTACTAAGCTCAATACCTTTGGCTCATATAATCCCTGTCACCCTAACTCCTCTCTCTATCCAAGTAAATAACCCTCACACTATGTCTGGATAATTACCTGTGGCATAGTTACACCCCTGACAGATTAAATTAACATAGAGCATGCGTAGTCCCCCCCTTCACCTGCCTAACTGCCCTGTGATTAATTGTGCCCCTTGATTAACTCTGTCTGGGAGTGGATGGAATCTGCTTTTTGGCAAATAATAACGGCTCCACTCTCCTGCTGCTCTCATTCCCAGTAATCCTGGGACAGCGCCCTGGCTCAGCCAGTTGGGAATGGATGGATTAACCGTAGTCTCTGTCGTAGCTGTGCCCTGTGCAGTAGCTCTGGTGTCGGGTCAGGTATTGACATGGACGTTTCTCTTGTCTCTCCAACCACAGGATTGATCTCAAGTTAAACAAAAAGCCAAGAGCCGTAAGTATCTGTGCTCTGTCCGTGTTTTCATTGCTCACTCTACACCCGAGGGGCTGCCTGACTCCTAAGCTTAAAAAACCCTCCCTGTGCTGTCATTTAAGTTCTTGTTTTCGTGGTTGAGGAGTGTCACAGTGTGAGATCAGCACTGTCCTGTGGCTGTAACAGCAGCTGAGCCCAGCTGGGCTGTTCTGAGACAGGGTCACAGGTAACTCCTGTGCACTTCTGGAAAAAGCTGATTTGCACCCTGTTACCTTGTCATTACCTGGAGCATCGAAAGCATCTGGTTTGAGTTGATGCTTGGGGTTGGAAGGCTCCATCCTTTTCAATGTTTAGCTACAAGAAAAAAAATCTGGTTTGCCTGCAACTAATGGTGTGTGAGATGAGAGAGGACTGAGCTCCCCCAACTCCATGAGCAGAATCAGAGGTGGGAAGGTGTTAACGTGCCTGTGCTGTCCTTTCTCTGCAGGACTACTAGAGCCATGAGTGCTGATGCTCCTAGGATTTTGGTCTGTGACTCCCCACTGAGAAGCCCTGAAGCAGGATGGCAGCTGCAGCTGGAGTGACTCACTCTGAGGGACTTGGATGGGGGGAGGAAATCCTGGACCGTGTACTTTGCATCATTTTTAAATCACCTGAGTTGCAGGAAGACTAAGGTGGTGTAGGTAGTAGTAGTAGTCCTGAATTCCTGACTGTTCTGTGCTTCCACCTGGGTCGGGAACTTGCTGAAATGGCTGATGCTGCTGCCCCCCTGCCACCTGCAGACCCACAGAGAGGCATTTCCTTTGCCACTGGAACCGGGGTAGAATTCAGTGTGTCCCATCCATGTTGTGAGACTTAGATTACTTTTGTTGCTGATATTTAGCTTTGTAGGTTTGGTTTGGTTTTTTGTTGGTTTTATTGTGGTTTTTTTAAAGCCAAAGTGTATAGTTAAAAGTCGACTTTGAGTTTCTTTGTTTAATCTGTGTAGTGGAAGGTTCTTCATTTTGTGGAGCAGCTTGTTTGATTCTTACTCAAGCAGAGAAGGTGGTTTAAGCCTTTTCTCTTTCATTTTAAACACCATCTCCCAAGATTCCACAGTGATTTAGGTGCAGGAAGGGCCAGAGCTCAGAGCCAACTTGCTCTTTGCTGCCGCTGACTTTGGGTGGATTCTCTTTTTAATACAAACTTCTGTCATTCGTACATAAACAATAAAAGTTCCATGTTTGTCTCTTCCCATGGTTCGTTCAGTCCAAACTTTGACTCCTGGTGCTTTTTACTGTCCACCTGCTTTATGAGGACTTTGCTGGAATTCTTCCCTGTTGGCACGGGAGCAGTTCCTTGTCCCGTGGCCCCCGGGAGGTTCCCTTGGTGCTTCCTCTCCTCGGGTGGCTGTGACTGAGGAGTGGCTGTGGCTGCAGGGAGTGCCAGGCTCCAATCCCCAGCTGTGCAAGGCAGAACTGGGATGTCCCTGGGTTCTGCTGCTGCTGGCAGATTGCCCGTGGATCAGGGATGAGCTGGTGGGATTGTCCCTGGAGCAGTGCAGAGGGGTGAGGGCCAGGTGCTGCTCACAGCCCCCGGGTCAGGACCTCGGTGCTGCTGTGGAACTGAGCTTTGCTTCGCTCAGGGTGGGGAGTTGCTGTTGGAAGTGGTGCTGCTGTGTATTTGTGTAACCCCTGCTGATGGGGAGAGCCTTGGGAAAGGGGCCTTGGGACAGGGGTGTCACTGAGACCTCAGAGTGTGTGTGGCCCTTGAAACAGCCAAGGGTTCATCCGTTCTGCTGCACCTCTGATCCCCTGGGGTCGTTCTCAGCTCCCTCCAGGCACCCCAGTCCATGCAGGGCAGGACCCGAGTGAAGGTGGAGGCACAGGAGCAGAGTTCTCCCTCGAGCTGGGTCTGGTCCAGGATCAAGACAGCTCTGTGTTTGTTCCTGGATGGAGCTGGTTTATCCCTCGGGGAGCCGTGTCTCTGCTCAGGAGGGGCTTATCCCACAGGGAGTGTGTCTCTGCTCAGGGACTGGTTTATCCCACAGGGAGTGTGTCTCTGCTCAGGGACTGGTTTATCCCACAGGGAGTGTGTCTCTGCTCAGGGACTGGTTTATCCCACAGGGAGTGTGTCTCTGCTCAGGGACTGGTTTATCCCACGGGGAGTGTGTCTGGTCAGGGGCTGGTTTATCCCACAGGGACCTACTCTCTGTGCTTGGGGCTGGTGGCTGCTTCTCCACAGCGGGGAGTGGGGGGGGTTGGGGTGGAGCAGCTTAAAGGCCAAGCTGCAAAGCTGGCCTACTTCTGTGTGTTTTAAATTACAGAGGTTAAATACAGGGGGGTGGAAGATCTAGGAAACAGGCCTTGCTGCTCTGCAGTTTTGGAAGGGAACTCTCAGCTGATGGTTTTGATTCCCTGCCCTCGGTACAAAAGCAGGGATGGCTGAAGTCTCTGCTGCACCTCTGACCTTGAGGAAAGCTGACAGGCTTTTTTGGGCAGAACATTTTTGAGCAGCAGCAAAGGGCTGGTGTAGCTCGGAGCCCTGTGTGCGGGCGGGCTGTGTGACAGGGTCAGACAGCTCCACATTCCCTGTGACACGTGGGGGTGCTGCAGGGACAAGGGGGAAACGCAGCCAGTCCCGCCTCCGGCAGTGTTTGTCACCGAAGGAGGGGACAGCCTGTTCTGCCGAGGCCCCTGTCTGATGGCAGCAGCCTGGGGGGAGCACATTGATTAGAAAGCAAAATGGCAAATGCTTGGTTCAGTTAAAGGCACAGCTGTTCCCTGCCAGGTCCTGCCACTCAGCAGCCGCCCGCTGACTCTGACACTTGTGCCTAAAACCTCCATTTGATTTCTGAAGATTTCTATTTTCCTTCCTAAAGAGCCTGAGTGACTAAAGACCCCCAGGATGGCCAGTGCCTGGGCACAGGATTCAGAGCTGCGCAGGCTTTACCCAAATGCTCACGAAAGCCAAAAGTAGAGGTTAGAAATAAATTCCAAGTCCTTTGCTTGTGAAAGATGGATCCTGAGCACAGAAAACAAGGATTGCAGAGCAGCCACTGTCCTTATGGTCCCCAAAGGTGGAGCAGGGAAACGCTAATCCCTGCGCAGCCTCGTCACCAAGAGGATTAGGCAGGAGTTCATCTGGGCCGAGGGTTGTCACCGGGCAGGACAGGAGGCAGCGCATGGCTGGGTAAGGGGGCAGAGGGGAGGGGGCCCGGGGGTCCCTGCCGAGCGCGTGTCCCACATGAGGGGATCTGGCCCCACAAACGTTCAGGCTCCCTCTCGTTGTCCTGGCAGGTGGCGAGCTGGGACAGGCACTGGCGTGTGGTGGCACCGGGCGGCTGCCACACAACCCTCCATTGCAGAGAGCGAGGCGTCGGCTCCGGGCCTGCAGGGCCGTCCCCTCCGAGTCCTGCTCCCGGGGGTGCCATGGGCCGGCGGCGCAGCCCCCCGGGGCCGTGGTGGGGGCGGCCCCTGCGCTCCGGGTGCTGGTGGCTGCTGTGGCTCTGCGGGACGGCGCTGCGGGGGCTGCGCTGGCTCTGGAGGCTCACCTGGGTCGGTACCGCGGGGCCCTTCCAGGGACCCCCACGTGCCTCTGTCAGCTCTAACGTGGTGTGTTTGGGGGGCCTGCTGGGCTGCAACCTCTGTACCAGTGGTGCTGGGGACTGTGGTTTGGTGCAACTGGGGCAGCTGGGGGGTGTCACCGTGTCACCGTGTCACCACACCATCTGGTAGCGCAGCTGCGGGATTGGGGCCCTTGTCCTGCGGGGGCTGGCTCTTGGCTCGAGGCACTGTATGGTTCTGCCCACCAACAGCCCTGGGGACATGGGGGCATCACTCCAGGCTCTGCACTCCGCAGAGCAGATGTGAGCCGTTCTCTTCCCCAGGTCCTGCTGATCTGCTACAAGAGCTGCTGGGACAGTGCCTTCCAGGTCACAGAGGAGGTAAATCCCCCAGCGTGCCCCCACACCACAGGGACTGTGCCGTTTGCCAACTCTTGGGACATGGCCGAGCCCGGTGACACGGTTCACTGAGTGGCACCAGGGGGTTCCCCTGGCAGGGTCAGTGCCAGAGGCCATCCAGGCTTGGCTGCCCATGGATGTGTCAGTCCCCACTGTCCGTGTCGACTTCCAGCTCGGAACATCTCTGCAGCTGAGGCTGGAGGGGAGCGAGGAGGAGGAGGAGGAGAATGGGAGCTCCGATTCTGCGCTGGAGCCTGGGCAGCCAGGTGAGTCCCCAGCCTGGGGATGTCCCTGGGGCAGAGGCTGGGGCTGGCAGGTGTCAGAGGGTGCTGGCGGCAGCTGAGCTGTGGTGCCGGGGCAGTGGCGCAGTGGCAGGGGCATGGGGATGCCAGTGAGGCCGTGCTGGAGAGGCTGGAGGGGCTGGAGGCCGACGTCCGCTTCCTCTGCACGGAGCTGGGGGCAGAGAAGCTGCTGTGGAGCAGCCGGTTCCTGGAGCTGCTGCGGGAACAACAGAGCCTTCGCCAGCGGGTGAGTGCCCCGTGGGGTCCCAGCCCCCCCAGCCCCCTCTGGCACCCCAGCCCGTCACACCCTGTCCCAGCTGCAGGAGCTGCCATGGCAATGGAACCGCAGCGACAGCCCCGAGCTGCTGGGGGAAGTGGAGGATCAAAGTGCCAGTGGGAGCGAGGGAGAGAGCCCAGAAGGTGAGCCCAGAGGGTACAACTGGGGACTGGAGGGGGCACAGGGAGCAGGAACCTGCCGCCAGAGCTGGGGATGGGGCAATATGGGGAACCCACTAGTTCCCCACCTGGGCATTGGGTGGCACTGGGGTGCCCTGGAGGGCATTTGGGAGCAGGGGGCCAGGAAAAACTCCCAGTTCTCTGCATGACTTCCCACCAGGAGCCTGGCTGGGTGCTCCCACACTTGGCAGAGCTCTGGCCATCACATGCCCTCTCACCCCTGTGCTCTGTCCCAGGACACCGGTGGACAGAGCCACTGTGGCAACCACGCGGCACCACCCAGCCTGATGGCAGGAAACATAAGTGAAGGTGTGAGCAGGGCATCAGCGAGTCACCAAGGAGCCACACGTCCCTCCCTGCCCAGGCTGCTCAGGACACAGGCCAGGATGGTGCAGTCCCAGCTGTGTCGCCGTGTCCCTGTATGTGCCTCCACCCGTCGGTGCCAGCCAGGCCTGGCCCCATCCAGCAGAACTGCAGCCATTCCTTAGGAGCAGGGACCAGCCGAGGGGCAGGTCCGGGTGAGCTGCTGGCCCTGGGGCTGCCCCAGGAGGAGTCACAGCCACCCCCTGCCCAGGGCCACCCCAGGGCTGACTGTGCCCTGGTGGGGCTGGCTCTGGTGGAGCCCACTGAAGAGCATCCTCCTGATCTACTGCACCTTGTTGGGAGGTTCCGGGAACAAGGAGTCTGCTCACCAGTGGCCGCAGACACTTTGCACAAGCTGGAGCTGCTGGAGCAATGGATTGCAAAACTCCCCCCTTGACTTCCTCATGGGCCAGACCCGGCCCCTCCGTCAGCAGCTCTGCACGTGCTGCAGGGCCGGGCCAGCTCTCGTGACAGCGGCTCCCCCTCATCCCCCAGATGATGAGCCCTGGGAGCTCTGGTCCCCTTCGGAGCAGGGCTGAGGGGCCTCCCCGTGCCCAGGAGTGGCTGAGCACAGAGGGGCTGTGTCCTGCCCCCCACCCCGGGGTCCCCAGGGCCCACTGTGCTGGGGCTGTTCAATACAGGCGGCTGCTTCCCATCGGTTGTGTCCACCTGGTCTTTCCCCAGCAGAGCTGGGACGGCGGCACCCCCGGGTCCCAGCTCTTTGGGGAGGGGGACAGGATGAGCTCTCACTGAAGCAGAGCAGGGACCAGCACCCACCCGGGGCAAGGGCTGGGGACAGGCTCCTGCAGCAGGCAGGGATCGGCAGGATCCGTCCGACGTGTCCGTGCAGCTCCCACACCAGGGAACTGATGCAACACAAATAGCAGCAGCCTGACTCACCCACACCCACCTGGCTGAGGGGGGACAGCCCCACGCTGCTCAGGAACACCAAAATGAACCAGGTCCTGCAAATGAACTGCTCTGGGGACAGCACTGCGGCCTCAAACATCCCTCTCCTGCAGGGATCAGCAGCATCCACACAAAGAGACAGTGGGAGCACTGGCCACGTCCCACAGCAGCTCTGCAGTGTCGGGATGAGGTCCTGTCCCCACTGCAGCCACTGTTCACCTCTCCCGTGGCAATCCTTGGGCTGGAAATCCCCAGCCAGCCCCACAGGGACAGGGACACGGCTCAGGAGGTGGAAGGTGACATCAAACAGCATCAGCTGCAGCCACCAGCTCTCCCTGCCCCAACCACCCTGTCCCCAGAGAGGGAAGAGCCGCCTCACAGGCCACGGAACATTTCCCAGGCCATGGAAACCTTTCCCAGGCCACCACACCATGCAAATCCTCCTGACCTATTGCTCAACCCGAGGCTGTGTTTACTCCAATGTATTTGTGCAATATTGTTCCCTGCTCCCAGCCTGTGGCTTCCTCAGAAAGGCTGAGCTGGCAGCTGCTCTGCCAGCAGGGCTTTGGCTCCAAGGGGCAGCCCCTGGCCTTGGGGAGCGTGAGGGTACAAGGGATATAATCCTCAGGGCCTAATCCCTGAGGAAAGCAGGTGACAGGACTGAAAAAACACATGGCTGAAGGGCAAGTGCTGACAGCACCTGCACAGGTAGCACTGCCATCATCATCCCATTCCAGCACCAGCCTCCCCTCCCACCACGCTGGGACAGCACCCAGCTCCTCCCCAGCACCTTTCTGTTCTCTTGGGTGCAACATTTATTTTGCAGTTACTCGCTTCCTGCAGTTCTGTCTTACAGCAAGGCTGTGTTGCAAAAGAAGTTTGGGGTACAGAGTGCAAAGCCGCTGCTGTGTTTGGGACACCTCTTCCTCTCTGCTGCAAGAGCAGCAGCCTCAGCACTGGGGAAACACAGTGGGTTGATGCTGAACCTGCTCCCGTGTATGGGAGCCCCAGGTGGGTGACATCAGCATATCCCCCGTGAGGGCACACACACGTGTGCTCCTGTTACACACCAGCCTCTTTCCCATGGCCTGCACAGGAACCTGGGGTCAGATTCCTGCCTCTGGAAATGCCTTAAAAAGTTAGAACTGAGCTAGCCACATCCTGGAAATCCCCTGATGGGAGGAACCAGTTGGGTTCAGGTGGAAGTCCAGTGAGCAAGGGCGGCACAGGCCATGGTGCCAGGGAGAGGAGAGTGAGCCCCAGGGAGTGGGCTGGGCTGCTCAGAGGAGCTGCCTCCCCCCGAGCTCAACAGCACACAGCCCACAGGATGAGGGCTGGGAACCCCCTGAGCACAGGAAACCTTCGACAGGCCCATGTGTGACCTCCTTCCCCCCAACAGCCCATGAGCTGACAAGCAGATCTGACCCATTTTGGCTGCCCAGCACACAAAGCAAACACCCACCAGTCATGGCAGGCTCTCCCCAAAACATGAGAGGAAATCCTGCACTGACAGCCCAGTGAGGCTGCCCATGTGTGCAACTCCACCAACTCACTGCAGACTGTGCAAGGTGGGGAAAATGTGCAGCAGCAGCAGTTCCAATTAGCATTCCAATTTCCCCAGCTCCTGGTGAGCAGGCCCCCGGGGAGGCAATGCTTACCCAGAACACATGGCATGCTCTGGGGGCAGGTTTGCTCCCACAGAACCTTGTGTGACAGGAGAGAATTCCAAGACCAGCAGTGGGATGGCAGCTGGGTGGGCCAGCTGCCCCAGCAGCACAGGCAGCAGCTTGTGGGAACAGCTTTGACCAGATCTGACCCTCCCAAACTGCTCCAATAATGAACCTCTGCACTGATTCCTTTAACTGTGTCAGATCAGCTTTGAGGGAAGCAAAAATAAACATCCCCCTACCCCTGCACATCCTGCAAAACTAGAATTACCTATTAAGGTCTTTTACAGGAAAAGCAGCCTTAACACCCTGCAGCATTTTTCAGCTACAGACCCCACCAAGGACAGGAGCAAACTGCACACCTGGTTAAAGGTGTGCTCAGATCTGCAACACTCCATCCCCCCACCACACACGCCCAGAGCCAGGTGAGCTCTGTCACTGCAGTGACGTCCCCAGGGAGTTCCTCTGCCACAGCCAATAACAGACCTCAGGCTGTGAAGTTCCAGGTTTGTTTTCAAACAGCTGTCCCTGGGAGCACTTGCCTCCCTCGTTTCTGATTAACTACAGAGTCATGGCCCTGTGGTAAAGGAAGAGCCCAAGTTTGAATACAGACCATAAAGTTATTTAACTGGTGAGATAAGAATGTGCTGTGCTGCACTGGAGCAGGTGGGAGGGGAAGATCCTTACACAGCAACGTGAGCACTGATATTCCTGCTGCACTTCCAGTCCATGACAAACCTTCAGAGCAAAGTCTGGACAGTTTGCATATTCCACACTCAACAGCTGGCATGGATGTGCCATAACTGAATAAAATATGTATTTGTTTCCATACTGTACTGTGGAATTGTCCCTTAAAACTGAACACAGCTCATGCTGATTTCAGAAGTCCCACAAGTGTTCTGTGCTTTAGCACTCGAGACACCCACAACTCCTCTGGTTCCACCTTCCCCTGCCTGTGCCTGCCCCAGGCACTGAGAAACCCCAGTGCTGCCAAACAAACAGCAAACACTGCTCCTGCTCTTATCTGCCACAGCACTTGGATGTTTTGGTCTCGCTGTATCAATTAACAGCCTGTCACTAACAAGCCCTCAGACTGCATATGGAGATTGAAGCCTGTCAGGGGAACCCAGGGGAGGAAGGATAATTTATGACTTTTCATGGAATGCCAGCCAAAATGTTGAATGTTCCTCCAAAAAGCCACCAGAGACCAAGTATGCCAACTCAGCAATTTTTATTTATATAAGACAGTTCTTCCTTTGCCGTGGCTGTCACATGGCCACTCGGTACGTGACTATACTGCATACAGAAAATTCAGCAAGTGTCAGCTGGGGAGTACAAAATGTTAATCTTCTGATTGCAAGAGAAGCAGCAGATACCAGCATTCCACCAGAAACGCAAACCCACCTCGCCCAGTAACACATGGCTGAGGCAAGAACAGCACTGAGTAAAACTGCAAGCAGCAAAGTGCTGGACAATAACATTAAAAACCATTTTTCCTGTAATTTACAAATATGCAAAGTATCAGGTTACTTAAAATTAAGAAGCATTTTGCTTACTAACATGAAACATTACTAATTTGTAATGTATCATTATTAACCAGGTATACAGGTCTCTGTGTCCCTGTGGTCTCATGGCACATGGTGCCAGTCTGGGCAGGTCACTCCTCGGACATAAGAGGGAAGAGCAGGAATGGACAACACCGTTCCCAGGAGGGTTCCAGGACCAGCTGCATCCCACTCTCCACTTCCTAATTTGCCACTCAACGACCTTGGTTTAACCACAGAAGGGCGTATTGTATTTAGAAAACAACAACACACACAGATACAATGTGTATCAACAAATCAACTGCTTCTGGCCTGCAAGTGCCAGGAACATCTCTGCATCCCAAGCACAGCGAAATTCCAGGACCAGAACCAATTACTACAGCAACTGGTTTTGCATATTTAAAATCTCTTACAGTATCTACAGTAGAAAACATCTTACAGAGTAAGAGGAAATGAAACAGGAACAGTCTTGCCAAATAACTCTTATTCTACAATTCTGGATGCTGCTCTAGCTGGGCACAGCCAAAGGGGATGGGGGAACATTGGTGAGGAAGAAGATGAAGCAACAGCTTTACAGAGAGAAATATTAAGGACTCCTCAGGAAGGGCCCTGGCAGCAGTCCAGATGTGACTACAGCTGTTCTATTGCTGTCTGAAGGCAAAAGGCACATCATAAACCCTCATCAGCACTGCACAGAGCCAGCCTGGGCCAGGGAGCAGCAAGGTGACTGTCCCAGGGCAGCACCAACAGGGTGCTCAGGTCACCCCCCTGCTCTGACACTGCAGCTGTCAGCACATGCAGCTCTGGAGCAGTGTCTGCCACTCCTCCTGAGTAAGGACTGAGCTCCTGGCTCCTGGTCTCTGGGAGCTGAGCAGCTCTCTAAGCACTTGTGGGAGAATTACCTCACCTCAGGAAGGAAAGCTGAGGTGGGAGGGTTGTGGAAAGCATCATTAAAGAAGTGCACCAGTAAGACCAAATTAAAGTCAGCTAAACCCATCTTCAGACTGGATTTACAACCCAACATTTGCCACAGATCCACATGGTGGGATTTAGGAAAGAGGCTTAGTGAGGAGCTAAGAACAGTTTTGACAATGCATTTGGGTCTTTACAAACCAGCCAGCCACAGGCCACTGCAAAGGTGGATCCCCTTCTCTCTTAGAGCCTCCCCGAGTTTTCCCTCTTAGCTCCATAGTGCACAAAGCCATCTCAAAACTGAAGGTAATGGGAGGGGCAAGAACACATCCAGTTCTGGACAACTGCAGTAATTCAGAGTGTGCCAGATTCTCACGAACCCCAAATGAACAGTCCTGCTCTGCAGCTGCAGCCTCTGCTCCCACTCAGCAGCCCCTGGGGAAGATGGGACCCCAGGTGCTCTCACCTCTCCGAAGGGCACAGGTCACAGCCAGAGCAGAACTGGCTGTGAGCACCCCACATCTGGCATCCAGCACCCAGCTGGACTCTGGTACTTCAAGGAATAAGGAGGAGCACTCGGAAGGCACCTGTGGCAGCTGCAGAGGCAAACACAGCCCCCTCAAGCTCTCCCCATGGCCGGCTGCCCTCACAAGCCCGGGTTCTGAGCCTTGTAGGTGAGGATCTCGGCAGCCAGGCGCTGGGGGTCCAGCAGCCGCGGGAAGCGGCTCATCACGGCGTCCACCAGGTGCGGGTGGAAGATGCCGCACAGCTTGATGTGCACGCTGGCCCTCTCCTCTGCAAACTGCTCCGAGCCAGCCCAGGGCCCCGAGTCCCCGTAGGCCGGGCCCAGGCCCCTCTGCAGTGCCCGGGGGTCGCGGGCCCCGGGGGATCGCACCGGGGGCAGCGGGAACGGCTCCGACCAGAATTCCCGCGAGGGGGCCGGGGGGGCACTGAACTCGCTGGGCAGGCTGAACTGCCCCGCACTGCCCGGGTGCACGGGCACCCCATAGCCCGAGAAAGAGTGGGGTGCTCCTGAGTGAGAGACCTCAGGGCTGTACTGCAAGAAGCTAGCACCAGAGGAGGAAGATTTATGGGAGCCGGGCTTGTAAGAGACCAGATCGTTCTGCTCTAAGCTGGGAGAATGTGGGTACACGGGTCTCTGCCTACCACAGCTGCAGACAGACACCTGCTCAGCATGGGAATGATCACAGTGACTGGTACATCTGTGAGGCCACATGTCAGACAGCTGGTTCTCCAGAGACCCGATGCCTGAGTCGAGACGCTCCTGAGAGATATAAGACAGAGAGTCCATGTGAGGCTGTTGGTACCTGTCAGAGGACCTGTGGCTCCCACTGTTCAGGGGGACACCCCCTGACACACAGCCTTTGGCCTGAAGGGGAACGTCGCTGGGCTTGGCTTTGTGGGCCAAGCTCTTCCTGTCTGCAGAGACCTTCTGCAAAGAGCTTTTGTCGCTCTCCGTGGGCGCAGAGCACAAGAGCTCTGCCTGGGAGACTCTTTTGCCCTTTTTCTCCTCCTTGGCACTGGTGCTTCTGGTTGGAGACAGCCTTGCGTTGGCACGGAGTTCGTCAGCCAGCGAGCGCTGGGGCTGGTTGATCCTCTCAGGGTGGTAGAACTTACACTTAATTCCATAAGTGCATTTCTTCCCTGCGAGGAAAGGCAGAGCATGGAATGAGCAGCTGGATTTGGCTAAATTACAAATGACACTTGCACAGACACCTCATCCTTCACATGTAGGAGGCATCTTACCATAAGGGCACTGCTGTTTCTTGTGTTCTGGCACCACAGGTTTCTTCCTGAGGAAGTTGTCCAGGCTGGGGCCATGACGCCCTAGGGGATCATCTGGAGGCATAAACCTAAAGAAAAACAAATTTCAGTCAGGAACAGTTCACTTTCCTGGGTCAGGATTTCACTTCTTCTCAAAGTCCCCAAATTCATTGAATATTAAAAGCTATCTGAGCCCCACAAAGCTCTCCCATTTTCTGCAGAGATAACCCTCCTGTTACTCAGTCCACACCAGCACAAAATGCTTCCCTTCAAGCACAGAAGAGGTTTAGTGCTCAGTTGTTGACCAGAATTAGCACCTGCTGCTGCGCCTGCTAACAATTGTTCTGTGAGGAAATCAAGCCCTGGAGCTCTCCTGGGAATTTCACTACAACAGAGCTCCTGGCTCCACACCATGAGCAGCTAACTGAGACGCCTCCAACTCCTTTTGCCTTTGTACCCCTCCAGCTTTTTTTAATTCTGTACCAGCATTCGCTCTTTTCACGCATCGCTTGCTGTTGCTTCATTAAAACAAGCCAGCAGGCTCACAGGGACCTCTCTCCCAAGCCCGGGAGGACGGGGCCGTACTTGTCATTGACGAAGGAATACATCAGCAGCCGCTCCTCGATGAACTTCTTCCACTCGGGCCGCTCGTTCTGCAGGTCCCGGTAGGTGTCGTTGGACACGACGACGCCGTCGGACTCGTGGGCCAGCTTGACGATGAACCGGTCGTCGTAGCACACCACGCGCTTGCCCCCGACCCGCCGGGACGGCGTGAACACCAGGATCTTCTTCTTCTCCAGGTCACGGAGGATGTACTGGTCTGGAACACACACAGCTGTGAGCACACCCGCACAGCCCGGAGGCCTTCACGCACAGAGTGTCACTGGCAGTGAACAACAAAATCCAGGCGAAGTCATCCCATCTCTGCACAACCCAGACTGTACTCGACCTCGACCACCTCTGTTCCAAGTCACTCAGAAATCTCAGATGTTTACAAGTTCAGAGAAAACTCCCCTCAATTTGAATAATTCTGACTAAACATGCTTCAGTCAAATACAGCACAAAGTATATCCCTCGGGGGGGGGGCAGAAATCAAGAAATGAGACAAAGAGTTATGAAGTAGAGCAGTATTACATTTGGTTCTCAGAATTACTCCAGCTGATTCAGGCAAAAGCTTGCTTAGGAGAGAAGTTAATGACTAATTCTCCCTGGTCAGCTCGGCTCGCTGTATCTCCTACTACTCAGACCTTCCATTCTGAAGTTAATTACTGACTTAGGCAGAACTCTGCAAGCTCATTAAGTGACAGAGAGTCAGCCTGAAAAGCTACTTTTGGTTTTCATATTTCCACACCTGTTATGAGTACATCTGGTCGGGGTTGCTCCTTCCTCCATGACGGCACAAAGACTGTGATATCCTTGTGTCCCCTGTCCCAGAACCACTGGACAGCCAAAAGGATACCTCGGCAGGAGAACACTTCTTTATTCCCATGGCTGCAGCAAAGGAGAAAATGAAGGATTTCATCAACTTCCTTATTCAGTACAGACCAGTCAGGCAATGCACCAAGCAAAGGGAGCCAGCAAGTTGGACAAGCTTCAGTAAAGTGCTGAGGAGCACAGGCAGCATTGGGTGCTTGTCTCGTGTAAACACCCTCACCCAGACCTGCCCAACCTCACTGTTCCTTTCAGCACCTCAGGATACCAGTAAACACCCAAATCCTCACTGGGAAGGAGCAGCTGGAACTGCTGCAGCTGCTCTGAAACAGCCTCTGCTTCAACCCTGGACTCCCATTGGTTATTTTTAGCCCCAAGCACAATGTGATCCCAAACCCCCTTAGTTCTACACTGCCAGCTAATGCCAGTGGCTGTCCCCTGCCAGGGTGCACTGGTCCCTCACTGGCCGTTTGCTTGCAAAGTTGTTATGATCACTTCAGGAAAACAAGATATTTTATGCACTCTTTATGCTTCTTCATTACATTCTGGCTCAAAAATTCAGCTACAAATGCACTATTTGCCCAAAATGGAAGCATCTCCTGTGAACATGATCAGTGCTGGATGAATGAACAGCTCATGGCAGTTGAAGAACAGAGTTTGACAACCATGTCAGAAGCCACGTACCAACGCAAAAATGCTTCTTAATTATTCACTAGGTCATATCAATAAGTTTCCAGAGCTTCTAAGAGGAAACTACCTCTCCTGTTTTACAAGCAGTAGTATTTACAGTGCAATCAGCTCTTATGCTGATAATGGTTCTGGCAAACTTTCAACTTCTCTGTATTCCAGCCCGGTCTGTGGCTCTGGGGATCCAGCAGCCTGCGTTCCCTGAGGGCATTCTAGGAACATGCACTACACTGAAGGTAGCTGCTTTTAGAATTCAGGAATTTTCTCCACCTTGTCACTACCTCTCCCAAGCCTTACTCTTCCCATCTGCACCTGAATGACATTTCAGCTCCCCCCAGCCTTCAGCAGCCCAGTGGGCTCCTCCCCAGAGCCATTCCTGCAGAGGCACCACAACAGAGAAACTTCACTTCCCCTCCTGGCCTCACCCTCTCGCTGAAACTACAAAGGAAGTTGAAGAGCTGTACAAAGATACTTATTCTAAAAGAACTAAAACACTTGGCAACACAACTAACATAGAAAAAGATGCCTAACATATCTCCAATAAAAATCTCAAGTTACAGAAGGCTCACAGTCACCATCAGAAGGTACTCTAAAAATTTTCTCTAACATCAGATGAGTATAGCTATAAATATCCAGGCATGTAATCTTTTAGTGGGATACGTAAAAACCCAATGTTTTTTGGTGGGTTGTAAGTTTTAGTTCGGGTTTTGAGTCCCTGCTACCAACCTCAAACCTCCAGAAAGCAGCTAATTGGGCTGATCTGATTTGGCAGCAGCCAAAGAAAAATTCCCTTAGAAGGAAGTAAAAACTAATTTCCACTGTGATTTGCATAAGTTTGTCAAGAGCTGTTGAGGGAGGCCGCAGTACACACTGCAAATGAATCAGCAGGGAACATCACACCATCAATACAGGAAGTTTCAGAATGGAATTCCCCTTCTAGCAAATTGCTTAAAGAAAGCCATACTGCTTCTCTCCTGAGAGACCCTGGGCTCTGGCCTGCCCTGACTCACAGTTGCTGTGAGTTCCCCTCTGCATTTTGGGATAACTTTGACGGGTAAGAGGTTCCTCATTGACAAACACACCCAATCCTGCTGTTAAAGCTCGAGCACTTATCCAAGGTAAACTTTGCTGCCAGAGTCACTTATCAGCCCAAGCTCACAATGGGCCATTTTCCATAGTGCCTGAAAAACTGTGGAGACGGCTGGAATAGGAACAGGCTCTCCTGCAGGGACCCTGGGCATGGCTTTCACACTCCACTGCCATCCCCATTTCCTCGTTTGCCCTGAGCTCTGCCCCAGCCAACTGTGCCCCATCTTTTCTCAGTCCTGTTCTCAGAACTGTCAACCAGGGCTTGGAGAAAAACCACACCTGCAAACCAACCTGCAGCACTTTCACCTCAGACAAACCTACCACAACACATGTAGAGGCTCTGCCTGCACCCAGGATTATTTTTTATAAAATCTGCACACAAACATACACAGCAAAGGAAGTGGCCTCTGCAACAGCTGCAACAGAAGGAGCTTTCATAGCCCAATTCTGAACCTGGTGCATTAAAGAGAGCCCAGGACTACCCCAAGTAGAGGGTTAGGGAGCAGCTGGGGTTGGGGTGGGGGCAGGCAATGCTCACCATCATGGGAGCAAAACCCAAGGTGAAAGTTGGGACACCACACCAATAAATATCCAGCCCTGAGATTCTGGGTGCTCTGGTCACAGTGTCTGACAGGACCTGTGCCAGCAGCACCAGGACACTCAAGATGCTGAGGATGAGCCACAGCCCTGCTTTGGTGACACCTTTAACACTTCATTCTCTACATTGTACAGAAATTCACCAAACTACAAGAGTCACAATTTGGAGACTGGGCTCCAATGCAGGAGACAGCTCTGTATTACAAAGTCTTCTCTAATTAACCCTATAATTATTTATTGAGCAACTTCCTGACACGGAAACTTACACAAAGACACTGATTAAGAGGACAGTGTACCTTCAGTTATCCCCTCAGCGCTGGAGCACAAGAGGAAACGTGTGTTTCGCAGGAAGCTCGGCTGCCCTCGTCACTGCCCCGTGACCGCTGGCTCTGGGCGGGCAGAGCCGTGCCAGGACCAGCCCGCACTGGCAAACGTGATGCTCGTCCGCGTGAGAGCCGTGCGTGCTGGCGAGGCACCTCGGAAAGTATTCCCGGCCCCCGCCCGGGCACCCAGCGGTGCCTGCTCCGAGCCAGGAACGGGAGCTTTCCCCCGTGCGCCTGGCACGGCTCAGACCCCGCGGTCACACAAACCCAGCCCCGCACGCACCTCATGGCCACGTTGCTGCCATCGATGACGATGGGCTTCAGGTTGTCGCTCTCGGTCTCCTCGGGGCCGGGCGCGGGGGACTTGTTACCGGCGCCCCCCCGGGGGACCAGCGGGGCCTCGCCGGGCTCGGCCGGGGCTTCGGGGCCGTCCCGCTCGGCCGGGCCGTGCTTCACCAGCTCCCCCAGCACCGTGTTGGTGTCGGCGCCCAGGCCCAGCTTCTGCAGCACGACGCGGATCTCCTCCGAGGAGTAGCCGAGCTTGCGGAAGAAATCCACCTTCAGCTGCAGCTCGGGGCCGTCCCCGGGCCCCTCGGGGCTCTCCCTGCCGCTCATCCCCGCCGCGGGCCGGGCCGCGCCCGGCAGCGCCTCAGGCCAGCCCGGGGCGACGCTGCCCGCGCTCATGGCTCCCGGCGGGGCACCCGCGGCCTCCGCTCGCCGTCCGGACCTGCGGGGCGACAGCGGCGTCAGCAGCGGCCCCGCCACCTCCGCTCCCCTCCCGGCCCGGCCGAGCCCCCGCCCCGGAGCCGCCCGCCGCGCTCACCGGGCCGCTGCCGCCGCCGCCGCCGCATCTCCGTGGGGCCGGAGCGGGGCGGGCGCGGCCGCCGCTTTATACCCGGCCCGGGAGCGCCGCGCGGGGCGGAAAGGGCAGAGCGGGGGGGGCGGAGCGGCGGCCGCTTCCCTTCCCTTCCCTTCCCTTCCCGGCCCGCCCCGCCCGGCCCCGCCGCCGCTGCTGCGGGCCCCGCCGGAGCCTCCCGGTGCAGCCGGGAACGGGGCAGGGACAGGGACAGGGACAGGGACACGGACACGGACAGGGACACGGTCACGTCCCGGTTGCGGCCCCGGCTGCGAACACCTGGGGCCTGTGCAAACCGTGTCGCAGCGTGGCTGACCTGCCCCGACAGGGCCGCTCCCTGAGGGACCCGCAGGGCCCCGAGCCAGCCCAGGTGGTCCTGCGGCACAGGGGCACAAGAGCTGGTCCCCCAGAGGATTTCCCAGCTCTTGGTTACAAACGTTAAAACACGGAAATTCCATTTCTGGCCCTTTCTCAGTCCCACCGTCCCTGCCGGGGGTGGGTGTCACACGTTAACACAGTCCCGGAGCTCTGAACACACGTGTGGTGCTTCCCAAGGGAGGGTTCCCTGCCCCTGTGGGGTGCGTGGGGCAGGCGGGGCTGCCCCTCACTGGGGTCGGTGTCTGGAGCTGTCAGGAGAACGAGGCCCTGGACCACGAGCTGACCCTGGAGGGGGAGCTGGGACAGGGGCTGGGACAGCGGGTGGGATCGGGTGCAAGGACAGTCCCGCAGCCCTGAGGGCCCCTGGGGACACACTGCTGCTGTTTGAGCACAGCCTGAGCTGCAGGCAGCGTTCGGGCAGAAGGAACGTGTGACACAGCCACGAGCTTCGGCCAGGTCGGCAGTGGGGCTTTGTGGGTTTTTATGTTCTGTGTGAGCTGCAGTTCCAGCCACCAGTGTGTGGACACAGCATATGGTGACAGTGGAGAGCCAGTGACCTGATGATGGACACGCAGAGCACGGCCGGGGTGGTGGCAGCATCTCTGCCCAGAGGGTGCCTGCACGGGCCACACCCCGGCCGTGCACTTCGAGGGGACCGAGTCTCTGCCACATGTCCCTTGCACCACTTGGATCCCGATGGTGCAGGTGGCCGTGATTCAGCCAGTAGCAGCTTATCAACCCGGGCGTGTGGAGGAGATAAGCGCTGGCAGGAAGCGTCTGTCACCTGCCGGTACCTGTCCCCTGCCAGGCGCTAAACCACCCCTGCAGACTGCGTGGAGCTGCAGGGATTGAACCAACATTGCACAACGTGCAAAAATTTCACATCTCTGACTTCTGATTAATCATCCCTAAACAATTTAATGAAGGTAGTTGCAAATTTGCTTCCCTAGGGCCATTTACCAGAGCCCAACTCGGGAGCGAGGAACTCTCCCAGTTACAGGAATACATTTGCATTCATCTTCCTTGTGGTTACCCCGAAACAATCATTTTTCCTTGTCTCTGGCCGTGTCTGAAACCGCACTGTGTACTCAACAGTAACACACACAGAGTGAGATTCAGATCAGCGATAATATCCTTACTCAGTTCTTAAGTAGGTGCTTTCCCAACTCTTCTTTCCCTTGGAATCTACTCCAGTCAGCATGAATTTAGCATTGTTTGTGTGCTTTTGCTTCCAGGCTAAAGTCTATTGCACCAGAAAGTATGGCCACAGATGTGCTTCTTGTAGGAAATACCCCAAAGCTGGATCTCCTGATTTATGCAAAGCAGTGACAGCAGGCACATGAGTCTGTTTGCAAACTACCTTGAACAGAAAGTGTAGCTCTTTTTGTCACTGCAAGGGCAGTGGTGGAGGCTGCAGCTTCTGAGGACATGGAGATTCCCAGGACAAAGCCTCTGCTGGAATCACAGAGGTGCCAATGCCATTTACCACCATGTGCAAGGCACGAGACTCTCTCCTTCCAGCCAGTGCTGTGCCCATTGTTGGGCAGCTGCACTGCCCCTTTCTGTGGCAGGATGGACCATCAGCTGGCACTGCCAGGCTGCTGAGCAGGGCTTGTGCCTCCGAGGCCTCTGAGGCCACAGGAAAAGAGGTGGAAATCCCCAGCACAGCCCAAGAGAACACAGGGCTGTTCCAGGGAGGAGCCTGTGAGACCCAGGCTGGATGCCCTCAGGGTGGGCATCAAGGGCAGCAGCATCTCATCCTGCTGAGCTGAGAATTCTGGTAAGCAAAAAATGAACCAAAGCATCCAGAGGCAGAGGGGACAGCGAGGTGGTCTGTGACAGGAGGAGCCCTGTCCCAGGGACGGGCTCAGTCCCTCCCAGTCCTCCATCTCCATCCACTTCTCTGCTGACTCAGTGTCAGCTTTTCTCCAGCCTGGTTCCTTGCTCCTGAACAAGTCTCATAAAATCCTGACATCACATTTTTCTAGGGATTTTTCTAAGGATTACCACTCCCATGTCCCAGATTTTAAAGGAAGAGCTCGTCCCCTGGCAAAGCCTTTCATCTCCCACTCGTACATTTAACACAGTCAAAATAGGTGATATTCAAGAATCTTATTATCTGCTGGCGGGGAGGAAGCTGACCTTGTGCCAGTTCCTTGGGAAGACATGCCAGTGCTATGAAACTCCTGCTAACCAGCCTCAACCAGGAGCCCCGTCAGCAAAGTGGCCCTGGTTGCATTCCTGTGGAAGCTCAAGGCAGCTAACTCGCTTCTAAAAATGGGCTAATTAAACCTCATTTATAATGGCCTATGTGGGACCATTATGTTAATTAAAGATAATTTAAATGGCCTTATATAGTAACATTTGGGACTAAACTAAACTGAATTAAGGCCACTTTAATTCTGAATGAGTTTTATACAGAATTTTAATGCTCTACTTTAGATTTAGTTGCTTCAATTTAACTTTTTTAAGAATCCTGTGTAGACAAGCCCTGAGCAGTGAGGTACCTGCTCAAGTACCTGCTCCAAGCTGAGCTCGTGCCTCAGCCTCTCTGGGAGGGGACAGGGCTGGGATGGCTGCCTTGGGATCCATGTGTTCCCAACAGCTTTGGTGTCCTAAATGCCTTGCTCATCTGTGGAGCAACCTGATGGCACATCTCACTGCATTAACCAACATGTGTTCCTGGGGATGAACTGAATCCTCCCGTCACCTACAACTCAGGGATTCAAGAGGCTGGCAGAGCTGCCTCTGGATTTTCTTTTACAGTGAGCAATATAATTTATTTCACAGGACTCAGCATATCCAGGAGTTAAAGGAAAAACCAAGTGATGATTTATGCCCTTTCTTTGGAAGAGGGTCACCATTCCTCATGAGGAGAGCCAAGCAGCAATGCCGGAAGCAAAGCTGAGCAACATCCGCTTATGGCAGTTTGTTTTCACAGCACAACCACTCAGGTTCATGGAGATGCTGCCTGAGAGACCATCTGCTGCTCTGGCTGGCCTCAACAGAGCGTCTCTGATGGCAGCCTCGTGGCAAGCTGCCCAAGGCAGATCCCATCAGCCGAGCATCGCCCCGGGTTGGACGGGTGCCCGGCGGAGGCACCGGTGGGAAGGTCACTCCTGCACATACGTCAGGCAGGAGCTCCCAACCTCCCCAGTGCTACCTGCCAGAGTGATGCCAGAGGAGAAAAGGGAGCTGAGGTCTCCTCAGAAAGAAGGAAAATGTAGCAAGCGAGGACTAGAGGAGAAGCTCACCGATGATGCAGAGCTCGTGTTTTGAGCCCACGTGCCCGCAGTCCCCATCACACTGCTCATGGTCCTGCCAGCACGGCCTTCACTCACCAGTCTGGGATTCCTGTGCAGCTGCAGACAAGTAGATGGGTTTTTCTCTGAAACGTTCTATCTTGAACTTGTTCCCTGGCTTTTAAGGAGATCCTCGTAAGTGCTCTGCAGAGTAACACACTCCCTACGTAGCCCGAGGGCTCCTTGCGGAGCAGGCATGTTTCTGAGCTCTGGAGGAGTGCACAGGCTCTTGAGGGACCACACCAGGGAAATTTATTTGGCTGTCACTGTGTTCCTCACTAGACACGGCCTTAGGTACTCCTCCAAGTAAGCAGCCTTGATCTCTACCTTTGGTCTTAGTGATTGATGGCATTAAGTTATAGGACGGGCTTATTTCCTCAGTGACAGATGGATCGGGCACACCCTGACAATTTTTTTCTGTTGTGCTTTCGTCAAGGAAAAGAGCCAACCTCCTGGGGGTTTTTGGGCTATAAACCTGTTATTGTTGAGGGCTGAAGTGACAGAGGCAGCAGAAGCCTCACCATCATCCAGGGTGTCCCGAGGGCTGCGTGGGGTCTCAACTGGGCCTGGGAAAGCGGTTCCCCCAGACCCCTGCACCAAAGTCCCACTCTCCCTGCCCAGGATGAATCAGGGATTCACTACCTGGTGATTCCTCTCCTCTGTGCTCACCTCGTTCTAACAGCAGCACTCAGAGCATCCGCACTCTGGCAACCCCTTCTCTGTTCCGAAGCTGTGCTCCTGGCTCACCGGGCAACCTCGGGTTTCCCACAGCTGGATCAAGAGGAGAGAGAAGCAACAGACTGAAGTAATAAACGATGGTGGGGAAAACCGAGCAGTTGCGCAAGTGTCTGTGGCAACAACATTTACAGTTTTGCTGAGCCCTTCCCAGCCACAGCCTCTCTGCCGGAAAATGTCAGCGGTCCCCTTATCCAAAAACATCCCTGCCTGCTCAGCCCCAGTTTAGTTTGGATGCAGTGTCTGCAGCCATGGATTTGCTGTACTCTGACATGCCTGGGAGCATTTGCTACTTCAGAGCTAAAAGAATAATATAAGTTGAACAAACACTTCATGGTATTAACGTAAGATGTTTAAATAGACAGTCACAGAATATTTTATCCCACCCAGAGCAATGTGAAGAGCAGAAGATTTATGCCTATTGCTAAGCAAATACCTCTTGAGAAGTCACATCCATCTGGGAAGCAGTTTTTGTTCTAAGGAATTGAAAGCAGAGCAGGAGTGTTTGCTCTGGGCACCCAGGAGGTTAGGGAAGGACATCTCCAGTCTTTCCCTCATGGGCCCTGCTGAAGTTCCAAACCCAAGGGTTAAGTCCTGGACAGCTTCCCAAAGCTAAGTGGGCTCATCATGAATCCCTGGGGATACAGGCTGGTTTTCCCCAAGGCTTCTGTTAGGAAAGGGAGGTCCTGGCTCTGAGCACACATTGCCGGTCAGGAAACTCATTTCCTCCTTCTCCCGGGAGGGGCGCGGGGTCAGCGCGGACCCGGGCACGGGGCTGTGTCGGGTGGGGGCCGTGCCACCCCCGCCTGCTGCGCAATGTGGGGCAGCGCCGGCCCCCCCGCCCCCCCGGGACGGATGTGTGTCAGCGGGGCAGAAAGACAAACAGCCACAGCTCCGCTCGTGGCTCCCGTGATGTCACAGGCGATCTGATATGACTCAGGAGGTGTCAGGAGGTGTCAGTGTGGTGGCAGGCAGGGGCCAGGAGGTGTTCCTACCTGCTCAGGCTACAACTGGACAAGGTGTTCACTAGCCCACACATCAGGGTCGTTCCCCAATGCCTGGAGGATGCCCACGAGCATGGCCAAGGACTGAGCAGTCAGGTACCGAGGGCAGCACACCGTGCAGCAGTTGTGCAACGCACAGGATGCAGCAGAGCAACCAGGACCGGCCTCTCCCTCTGCCCCACTGCTATCAGAGCAGCCCAGCAGAGTGAGGCAAGACCATGCTTTCGCTCCCTCTGGCTGGGGATTTCCCTGGCACCGGGCGTGGGGCTGGAGCAGGGCCGGGCTCTGCCTGCTCCTGGGGAGTGGGGACTCTGTGGTGTCCGGGCCACAGGGAGCTCCCCTGGCACAGCACCACGCTCAGGGTGCTCCGGCTGGCACTTGGTCCCTGCCACCCCCAGCCCCAATCCCAGTCCTGCTGCTGTGGCACGGTGGGAGAGCCCAGCCCGGCCCCAGCCTGTCTTTCCACTTTTACTCAACTGTGCGCAGGAGTGATGCATTTATTGCAAAACAGCTCCTGGAGCGGAGACTCATGAGACACAATATTTAGCGTGTGGGATCTGAGGTCTGTTTGTCAGATGGTTTCAGTTAAGACCTTGCCAGCTTTTAACATCCTCCCAGCCCACACACCTGATTCACAGCTGACACCAAGGAAAGGGGGCAAAGGAGTGATTGCGTTTTAGTTTTGCTCTTTGGGAGTTTTCCCCCTCTTCTAAGAATCAGATCTGCTTTCTCAGCCTTCCACCTAGAGGCGTGAGCGAGGGTTTACAGTTTAATCCAATGTTCCCACTAATTGTCTCTTGTCTCAGCTTTGCAGAATGAGCATTTGGGATGTGATGCAGAGAGCAGGTGAATGAGAGGCCAAGGCTGGGTAATGCCACTTCAGTCCTGCTGACAAACTTGTGTTCATTGCTGGGCTTGTCTGTCCAATCTGATGTGCAGAAATGGGAACCTGTCTTTTGGTTTATAATTTACTCTCTACAGTAAATACCAAGAGGTTCCGATTGCTCAGAGCAGGAGGTGGATCTGGTCTGCCTCACCCCCATCCCTGTTTGTGATCCTGCTTGTTTGCAGCACATCCTTCTCTTCCTTCTTGATCCATGCAGTGTTTCTGGGAAGGTGGAATGTTGCCTCTTTACCAGCAGTAGCTGCATTTTGGTAGGAAAGGTGTTCTCATGAAAACAGGAGGCTGGATTTTGGTTCCCACTTAGGTTTGCCTTAGCAGAGACTCTCATTAACGTGCTGATGAAATGAAGGGAAAACAGCTCCTCAGAACCACAAAGAGCAGTGACCCAGCAACCTGTTGTGAGTGCTCAGGAGGGGCTGTGCCTCGCCAGCAGCCTCGGCTTCTGGACGTTGCTGTCATCACACTCCCAGGCTGCTCCCGCACAGCCCCGATCCCTGTGGTCCTGTGGCAGAGTCTGCAGAGCCATCCCGGCACTCCCTGGAGGGGGATGCTGTGGGAATCGGGGGTCTGAAATTCCCAAAGAAACGTCTTTTCCTGCTCTTGGAGGGAGCAGTGGAGCAGCTCCCGCCGCAGCGCTGCCGGGCTGGCCCCGCTCCCTGAGCCTCACCGGGTGACACAGCACAATGCAAAGGCTCCTGAGCTGTAAATACTGATCCATTTAACATGACTATAAAAAATCCATGCTAATAACCTGTTGCAGCTTAAGGCATTTAAACAATTTGCTATCTTTTTGTAATTCTTTGTAATAATAATTAAATGACCTTTAAAACTGCAGTGGGTGGAAAAATTGTGTAAAACTGAATAGCAATTCAGCAACTGCTGAAGAATATTGAAAATCAAGTAGAAAGAACTCACTTTGATGTTAAGGGATGAGGAAAAAAATAGAAGCGAAGCAATCAAGTCTGAAGCTGGAAGTTTGTTCTTCATTTGTGCTGATTTACAGATCCCATTGAGCAGAATAAATGCAGGAACACTGAGCACCCAAGGGATCAGTGAACGTCTCCCAGTGCACAGGAGCCTCAACTGGCCTCAGCCCCCTTTGTGTGGGTCTCTGTGCCCAGTGGTCACATCTGCTCCAGAGCGAGGGAAGACACAAAGTTTGCTTAACAATGAGCTTTGCCATGACCAGCAGCTGTTGGAGAGTGGTTGGGGCTGCTGAGGGCTTTGGTCCTTCTGAGCGTCCCTCCCGAGAAGCTGCTTAAATCCCCCATGTGTACTCACACACCAGGTCTGAAAGCTGGGGCTGGAGAGGAGGGAGCTGGTCCCTCTGCCCCTGTACCCACCCGCCAGCAGCAAACGGCCTCTCTGCCCTTCTCACTTTGGGCACTGATCCCCTCTCACCTGTGCAGTGCCAGGGCAGCTTCCGGACTGACCTGAGGACATGGTGATGGGTTCCCTGTGCTGGCCATTGGTAGGGCTGGGGACACCAGGGCTGGAGGGATCCAGGGCTGGAGACACAGACAGCTGGAGGCCTCCCGGGTGCTTCGCTGCAGGTCCCTGATGGAAGCAGTGGTGGGTGACAGAGGGGATGGCAGCAGCAGTGGGTGACAGAGGCCAGGCCAGGCAGAGCCCACAGTGCCCTGGGAGAGGAGCTATTGCTGCACTGCCGCCAGCGCAGCCTCCGCGCCGGTATCGCCGCTTCGCAGCCTTGTGCTGGATTTGATCCCTACAATACATGGCATTTATCTCTCTTACTTTCATGTGCCTTTAAGGAAACACCACTTTTTATCTCATTTCTGCTGCTTTTTATCATCACAAAGAGTTTTTAATGAAATGAGAAAGCGTCTGTTTCTGCGGGCCGGCACGGCGTGGGTAATTTGAATATAAAACAAACAAGGCGGCTTTCAAAATTAAAATTTTATGTGTGGCATTTTCTCATTTAACGGAATGCACAAAGGCGGGCAAAAGCAATTAATGGGAGGTTGAGACTCAGCAATCAGCAAAATTAAACAACAGGACTCTGCAAACGGACTGATTTGTTCAAAGGGATCTGGAGAAGGGGATGGAGAGGAGGGAGGAAGCAAGGCTGCGCTCAAAAATCCACTCGTCTTAAAAACAAATGCAAACAAACCTGCTTCTTACCTCACGTTCCTCAGATGGGCCCCAGAGCCCCAAAGGCCAGGTGGAAACACTGGGGAATGGCAAAGATAGTCTGGGAATGGCAGCTTCAGGGGACAGCTGGGGAAGCCCCAGCTGTGAGCGGCAGGAGAGGTCCCAAAACGTACCTGCCCTGGAGCAGCAGCTCACCCAGGGTGGAGGGCTCATCTGGGACCCTTCAGGAGAGGGCTGCTTCCTTCCCCAGATTTCCTCCTGCTTCAAAATCCCCTCCCACCAAGAACAAATCAGCTCCAGCAGAAGTTAAGTTGGAGACAAGAAGGAAAGCAAGGAGGGGGCCGGAGGTGGCTGAGCGGGAGGGCAGGGGCTGCTGCTCCAGTGCAGGGCCACGATCAGCAGAGCTGGGAGGAACACCGTGGGGGCTCCAGATGAACTGTCTTAAAGAGAGGAAGAGGTGGAATTAAAGCTAATCACTCACTATCAACCGGGGCTGTGCCTGCAGAGTTCAGGATTTACAGTCCCTGGGAACCAGCCCGAGCTGGGCTCTGATTGCAGCAATCACTGCAGAACCAGGATGGGGCTTATTTGCGTGTTTAGCTCATAATTTGTGGAGTGAAGTGCTGAATTCTTTAAGGTGGGAAGGTGTCGGAACCTTATTTAACCGAGGATTTAGGCTGCTCGGCCAGAGCAGGGCTGAGTCCTGCCTTGCAGCATCACACAAGCGAGTTGAGCATTTCTCTTTGGTGCACTGCCCCTTGCTGGAGCCACAAAGATCACAGTGGGAGAGAGTTCCTCTGCCTGGTGAATAAAATGTGAAGCAGCATCATTCCTTGTGCTTTCAGCTCTGCTTTCCACAGGGTGACTGATGGAGGAGGCAAAAGCCACTTGCCAACAAGGGGCAGTAGCCATCCAGCCCTGGCAGGAGCTTGCTCCTTGCACGTGGCTGCTCTCAGCTCTGTTTCTTAAGAGATGATTCCTGGGGGGAAGAAGTTCGAAAGGGATGTGCTGAACACCACGGCAGCCTGGGCAGAAAGAGGTCAGAAGCACTTTGCAGCTACGTGGGAGTCAGAACTAATGTAACACTATTTCAGCCCAAAGCTATTTGTGGCTGACAGTCTGGAGATGCCAGATAAAAGCAGGGCGCCCTGGGCCTTCGTCTGGAGGGGCACACCAGCTCCCAGCCGGTGGGAATCACCCAAGGGAATCACTCTGGCAGCTGCTGGTCCAGCCTGGCCACGGAAGCACTCGGAAGAGTGGCATGAGGCCTCCTGGGGCACAGGCTTGGAGCAGGAACCTCCTGTGTCTGGGAAATGAAACTTCACTGAAAGGAGAAAAGCGTGGCTGAGGAAAGAGAGGAACAAGCTGCCAAACCAGGTAATCCATCTCCGGAGCGTCTGCGTCAAGATGATTCATGTCTTCCAATTTACTCCCAGCTCAAATCTAAAGTAAATCAGCCCAGACTGTTCCCGCCCCGTGCTGGGACACGATGTCGGTGTGGAGAACATCCCCCCCTGCCCATCCATCTCGCTGGGCCCTCAGCTCCCGACTTCAACACTTGTCCTTCGCAATTAGAGCCAAACTGTTTGTTTGTTGATAGGTGATGGGAGGAGAGGAGGCACCCTGGAGGGAGATGGGATGTGAAAAGGGATGATGAGAATGGATTTTTTTTAATATGCTTGCTCAGTTGCTTTCCTGCAGAAAATCTGTCCACAGGAGAATAGCCAGGAAGAACGTTATCAATATTAGTTCTCACCTGTAATGAGAAAGTTGTCCAAAGTCTTAATTACCTTTTAAAACTATTTACAATT